AGTACCCTAAACCGCAAGGGCCACAGAGAGAAGGACAGAGAGCTAAAAGAGCGGGAGGCGAAAGAGGGCAGGCACAAAGGGGTACCAGCTGAAGAGAGCAAGAGGGAGACAAGGGGATCTAGTAGCGTCCCACCGGACACTTCCTGGAATGGAAACCCCAGCACCAAGAAAGCCCCCATAACTCCAGGGCCATGGAAGGTCCCTAGTTCGGCTAAGATTCATTCTCAGGTGGAGGGGATCTGATGGAGCCGGTGCTCAGTGTAGAATTGGAGTTCCTTTTCATCAGAATTGCTGGGACATGAGCCGACTGCGGTCAAAGGATGGGTTCTCTGAATCACTGTGTATTGGATGCATATTTTTTACCTGACTTTTACATCATATTGTTATCTTTGCTGACTTTGAGATGATGCATTCATGGTATTCAGTGTTCTCAAATATGTGTTCAGATGTCCTCATGTCTATGTTGGTGCATTCGTCGCATCTACAGTAAGACTCGTCAGACTTGTATTGTGCCAATCGGAGACTCCTGGTAGGAAGACTTGACACAAATCCCAGTGCTCCTGTCCTGTGAAACCCTGTGAGGTGTGAAGATTGAATGCTCTGTTTTCCGGAAACGTGAAGGAATGTGTGTCTTTTGTTTGGCTTTGCTCTTATTTCAGACTCCTGCAAAGATTCAGAAAAGTGTGTGTACAATCAGTTACCTTGACCTTTTTCGCTAAGCTTGATTTGCCAGATGTCCTTGCAATCTGAAGTGCATCAGTGCAATTTGAATTGTCCTTGCAAGGATAGCGCAACCAGTGTTGAGATGATTAACCATGAACAAAGGAGAACATTAGCATCACTACCTTTGCTTTATTGTTAGGCACATTAATAACGCTTGACTGAACTATACTTTGACATGCAATCCAGGCAGGTGACCAGACTGTGCACACATAGGGCCGAGTTCCCAAACCAAGATTAAGCCTAAGCCTAGACTAAAGATTTTCAGTGGCCATTTATCATTGGCATTGCAATTTAGGCCAAGCCTATGCTTAATCTTTGACTGGGAAAATAGCTCTTGCTATTTAGGTTGAACATTACAGTTGCAAGCTTTGCAATGTATTTTAAATCATTTTTCAATGTGCATCCATCTTTAAATGACCAGACACTTGTGGTTAAGTATATTGTTTACTACATGTGTGTTTATGAAGAAGCCTATGTAATTTATTGAGATAAAAAAAACAAATATATATATATATATAGCTTTTTGCAATCATATACAATATATGTAAACATTGTGCTCCAACTCAGATTCTAAACAGCTTGCTTCATCCTTCCAGTACAGTTGGTTGCTGCTTTAGAATTGCTGACTTTGTGCACTACACATTTAAGGGAATGTATTTTTCATATTGCTGCAGCTTTTACTATTATACTTTGTCATACAGCAAGCTATGTGGGATTAGCATTTGGACTAAATTCTTGGTCATTAAAATGAAATGAAGTTATAATGGTATTAGGAGTAAATCATATTTTTTCATACAATCTAACATATATTTTTGCCCTATTTCTTTTTATTTTTCATAACACATATCAATTAACTTTTTGTAACTAACCTGATATCATTGTTTTAAAATAGGTGGGTTTAAAACAAGAACACTTTGTCTCTATATAAGAGACAAATGTGATGTAAGAAAACATTCTAACCTAAGCTCATGTAGCTCATCAAATGTAGCTCATTTGACTGTGTGGCAGTATCCCCATATATTTGTGTGTAAAATGGCCCTGTACATATGATCGGTGTTAGCAAAAACATATCAAAATGTATAAAAAATGTTGGGTTTTTTCACATGTTTAAATACCATTGTGATTCTCAATATATATGTGATTATATGCACTTCTTTTTTCCTGTTCTTGAGAAGGGGGTATGAACAAGTGGCAGCTTTGATACTTCATGAGTTAATGAGTTCATTTGAATTCATCAGCACTCGACTTTGTGTTCGGTTTCTTCTCACCCTCTCCATTACACCTAGTAATGAAACAGTTTTAAGCCTGTTGAGCTTGACTTTTTTTTGTGACTTACAACCAAATAGTTCAGCTTCCAATTTGTTGGTTGGGCAGATGAGTTTGCAATAAAAATGTATGTACACCACCACGTAATATTTGAGAACTGGTGTCTGTTTAGTCCTGATTAACAATGTGAAGCCTTTAGGGACTGCTCAAATGAACTAACTGAAAATAAGACTGGACGACTTCTTGTGGTTTGTTTCCCTTGTGCATCTCATATCTCATGTGTATGAAACCGTGGCCTTGCTTTGCTTTATCTAAAAAAAACAACAACAAAAAAACAAAACAAAAAAAAGCTTTTGGATCTCTACATTGTGGTAGTTGTAAATGTTTATAAAATGTACAGCACCTGTATAAATACTTGCCTTCACTCAGAAAAAAAATCTGTAAATCGCTCCATTATTTTTTTAAGTAATTAAAAAGATGAGTATATATATATATATATAAATATATATAGAGTGGTGAAATAAATGAATCTGGTCATGACATTCTGTTCATGCACTGATAAATAAAGTTTTACTGAGAATTCATTTTTGTTGTGTGGTGTGTTGGTTTTGGTACAATATGGTCCTAATTACTGAGTTCAGGTGTTTAGCCATTGCTATCAAATGTATAAAATTAAGCACATAGCCATGCAATCTCCACAGACAAACAAGGGCAGTAGAATGGGTCTTACCGAAGAGCTCAGAGACTTTGAACATGGCATTGTCATGGGATGCCACCTTTGCCGCAGGTCAGTTTGTGAAATTCACTATCTGGCAGTTTGATGGATGAATTAGATTTGGCGGAGATCCATCAAGGAAGATCCATGACAACATGGTTTGATGAGTTTGGTGTGGAGGAACTCTAGTGGTCTGCAGAGAGCCCTGACATCAACCCCAACAAACACCTTTGGGTTGAACTGGAGCCACAACCGCCAGCCAAGCCCTCTCATTCAACATCAATGCCTGACCTTACAAATGCTCTTTTGACTGAATGGGCACAAATTCCCACAGACGCACTGCAAAACCTTGTGGAAAGTCTTCGCAGAAGAGACTGTTAAAGTTGCAGAGGGGGGCCAATTCCACATTAATGTCCATGGGTTTGGAATGGGATGTCTAACAAACTTGTATAAGTGTGATGGTTATGTGTCCACATACTTCTAGTGTATGTTTCCTACCTTTCAAAAGTTTCTAATCACTTGTCATATTAATTATTGCTGCTGTTTTATTCAATTATACCTTTTACAATATAAGGTGAAATACGCTAGATACCAGAAAGTATTTTAAGTATGTTTTATTTAAGATTTCCAAGTTTTTGGGGATTTAATGATAATAATATATAATATAATAAGATAATATAACATATTCTAACCTATCGTAATTCCTTGATAAATTATTTGCAGAGATTTGATCACCACTTTAGAGATACAAGGCATTCTGGAGGTAGTTAATTTGATTACAACTTCATTATAAGTGATGGACTGCGAAAGCCCCCTTACTAAAAAATAAAACATATTGTAAAATAAAAAAGTAATTGTGGCGTGTGCAAAAGTTTGGACACCCTACTAAGCCCGTAGGCTACTTAGTAACACCCCCTTTGACAGATACAGCTTTTCAATGATGTTCCCCTGTGTTTCCCTGCCAGTGGTGCCCCCTTATCCTGCATCGCCAGCATACCACTCACTCCACCACTACTTGCTCATAGGCCGTGCAGCACACCATTTACGCCTCAAGCTCCTCCACCACCAAGCACAGTGTTACTCTTCTTGATATCTCTTCACTGAGGATGGGCTTCGCTGTCACAGCCTCAGCGACAAAAGCCAGCCGGTTTGGTGAGCCACACCTGTAGCTTCAGTTCCTCCAGCTGCTGCGCGTTCAGGAAATACTGCAGCGCAAGCTCCTGCTGCACAACCATCTCGATAGCTGGGTATGCCTGATGAACCATAGTGCTCAACCCCACCGCCAGTACCCTCTCCCTCTTGCCTCCATCTGTCTAAGAGCAGCCTCCTGACTGACAGCACTGCTGGCGTCTGTCTGAACTGCCGCTGAAGAGCCGTGGTCAACATTGCTAGGTTGTCATGCTTCTCTCCTGGCAGGTACATGAGCACCTAGAGCACTTCTGCTTAGCGCCAGGCACAGCTGAATTGGCACATGAAGATGCACATGAAAAACATACAGCTTCACTTTCACATCATTTGTGCATGGTTAGCACAAAATCACACTAAGTACCCAAACAGACCAACAGAGAATAACACAAATAATATGTGCACTCACTTTACACTAAGGAGCAACAACATCAGTAACATGAAACAATAACGTCCTTTTTCCAGAGGGGGGTGGGGCGCGTGGCGCAGCTCTGTGTACCACGCCTCCAAACACCCTTCATGAGCCGCAACAATACATTGTTTGCAGGAGTTTTACGCGTAGAAGAAATATCAATGCTATAGTATGATTAATAGATGGATATGTATACATAGAGTTCTGGATATATATATATATATATATATCACTTTTGTTTTTGTAATTTCCTCGTACTTTTACTGTTTGTGCATTTACCAGTCACAGCATGTGACATCATTGTCCTGGTTTCAGTTTGAGTGCTCAGCAGGTGTTTTGCCTTCATTTCTGAGAGCCCGTCCCTGCACTGTAATCTCGCCTCCACTGGCAGCGTTGTCTTCTGCACGCAGCGCTGTCTCGCCTGCAGAAAAAGCACCTCCCCGCCTATTGAGTTACACGGTGACGTCAGCTCCTGGACAAGGCGCGTGCAGCGGCGCACGCAGCCGTCCGAACGGCGAAGGTCCGCGAAAACACCATCTCCCACAAGACACCACGGTCCGCGCATGCGCGCAGCTGGAGGCGAGAACAAAAACTACAAAGTGGTGGCCTGTGATAGGGCGCGCGCTACTCACGGACTACACATCCCAAGCGCTACGAACCCCCGAACGACATGCGCGCTTCACTTTGCGAAGGCTTTTTAAATTTTTCTCCCCCCCCCGAGCAAAATGGCTGCGCAGGTCGACCTGGCGCGCGTCAAATGTGGAGGAAAAGTGGAAGAGAAGAGCAGGGACGGCGGGGACAAGGCGGCGGCCAGGGAGAAGAAGAAGAAGAAGAAGCGGGAGCGCTCGCCGTGCGGCGACAGGCACGAGAGAGCGGAGAAGGAGGCGAAGAGAGTGAAGCTGCATCACCAACATAACCAGCAACACCACCGACACAACCACCAACAACAACACGCTGAACAACGGGCAGCTTTACCTCAGCAGCAGCAGCAGCAGCAGCAGCAGCAGCATCCACCACCACAACAACAGCCACCGCAGCAGCAGCAGAATAACTCTCAGCCGCGCCACTTCGGCACCAAAGAGCGGCCGCTCGCGCAGCCACGGACCCCGTCGGGCGAGCAGCACCACCACGGCCCCAAGAAAGCAGCCGCCGCCGCTCTCCCATGGACGCCGCGGAAGACTCCTCCAGCGGCCCGAGTTTCTCCGAAGGCGGCCGTGTCCGCTCTGCTGCAGCCCGCCCCGCTCTTCACCTTCCCTCCGCTCACGGTCGCCAAGGCCGAGCCGCGCGAGCGCAAAGAGAAACGCATCGAGAAGGACGCAAAACTAAAGGCGAAGAAGGAAAACGCAGAGGCGAACGTGAAAGTCCCGGAAAACAAGAAAAAGAAAGGTAGGTTAACGCAGTCAGCAGGGTATCGGTTTAACCGTGCTAGGTTAGCTGTTTAACTTCTGTCTGGTAACAAGAAAAGCAGCCAGCTGAGGAACTCCTCCTCGGTGCGTTAGCCTGCGCTGCTAACACGCGCGGAGCCGTTAATGAACGTTACGAGCGGACCGAGCGGACCGAGTGGACCGAGTTGTACGTGTTGTTGGTTTTTGGTGTCTGTCTCAGAGTAACGGGGTCATTTTCACGAGACCGCCTCAAACTGTGTCCAGAAATGTGAGTGTCCATCATCATGAGGATAAAAGTATGTTCATATAATTTGGGAGCTCTGTAGCGAGCAAAAGTTAAATTGTTTATTTTTCTTTAAAAAGTTTTTTTGTTGTTGTCAGTTTTGCCATAAGTTTTTATTACCGCAGTGCCCATAGGAAAATCTGAAATATCGCAAGATATGGATTTCAAATATATGGGATATGTTACCATACCTAAATCATTATTTCTATTATTTCTAATTTATATTTGTCACATGTGGACAGATATATGACATACATATTTTTCAAATATGGGACAAAAACAATAAAATCATGAAATAAATGAAAATATTCTTTCCTGACATATTTAAATAATTCAGCATTCAAAAACAAACAAATAGCAACAATTATGATATGAATTGAGTTACACCCTAGTACTATGTGTATGGTTTATGTATGCCAAATATTTGGTATGTATGTACATGTACACAGCTTATAGGTACATATATTTTGCATATATGACCATACACCAGATTTCCATATGGGTACACCCACATATCAGCATCTTATTACCTATATTTATGTATTGTTTGCTATTTGTAATTTAAATTTTTTTTATTACTTTTAACTCTCTTTATTAAAACAACAAAAGATTATGTAGCAGGTAAAAATAAAAACCTTGGTGGTTGTCAGTGTGTTGTGTTAATGAAGTAAACTTCCATATTGTAAACTTTATATGTTTTAATTCTTAGTTTTAAAATACTTAGTCTGACCGCAGTATGTAGATTATTTAGCCTACGTATTTATCTTCAAATGTTACATTGTTGTGTTAATGAAAATTTAGTCACTTAAAATTTAAAACATTACTAAAAATTAACTTAAAAGCAGTAAAGTCATGCTAGTTTACTTTTAATTATTCAGCCTGACATTATTGTTTGTATATTCAAAAAAAAGAAAAAAAATCCTTTTAATTAAAAAAAGTCCTTTTAATTATTTCAAGTTGGGTCCCAGTATTTGTTGTATTCGTGAGAATAAACCAGCTATTACTTGTGAAGTTGGTTTCTTATTCGTCAGATTTTAATGTACACTTTACTTTCCACCCTAAATGGTGCAGCAGCTACATTGAAACGCCTCAGAATAAGAAGGCTTGTCTAATATGAGTTTATAAGCTACGCTTTTATGTGCCTGTTCAGTTGACTATTCACTTCAGTTATCTCTGTGAAGTACTAAGATACTGTTGCCCAGCTCAGACAGGAGTTGGTGATAACAGATATGTTTTGCATTTCTTTGTCCTCAGCTGTAGCTGGAAGGGACTAATAATATTCTTATTTCAAAAGAAACCATGAAGTAAAAACTTTCAAGTGTCTTAAAAGTGCTGAAGGGGGACACATCCACTTTATTAAAAACCACTGTCTTGTATTTTCACTGTTGAGGTGCAGTTACAGACCAGCTGTTTATCAAACACCCTCTAGCCCATTTATCTTTGGTCACTTTCTGACCCCAGGACCACTGTTCACTGGATATTATTCATGTTGTGGACCACTTTCAGCACAGCAGTGACACGGACATGATAGTGGTATGGTAGTGCATTTGCTGGTATAAGTGTATTGGGTGCATCAGTGTTGCTGGGGTTTTGCAAACATCAGTCTCACTGATGGATTGAGAGTGATTCAACACCCAAAAATATCCAACTGTTAAAGGCTAAAAGATGGCTGACTCAAATGATCCAGCAGACGAGCAGCTGTCTCTAACTGTACATCAATCAGGAGCACCAACAAGGTTGGTGTTTCTAACAAAGTGGTAGGAGACAGGTGTGTTGGATAAATGTTAATATCTCTTGATATGTTTAAGTAGGTGTTATGTTTGACGTCTTGATTTTAGCTTTAATACCAATTTAACTGTCATTTGCCCCTTTCAGAGAGCCATAATGAGAACGGAAAAACTCAGACCCTGGAGGAGTACCTGCTTAAAAAGAAGAAGAAAAAGAAGAGACATCGGGAAGATGAGCGTGGCAAGCGATTGCGGATGTACAACAAGGAGGTGCAGACCATGTGTGCTGGGTTGACGGGAGACTGTCCCCCTTCCTCAGACGAGCCGGCCGTACTTTCGTACATCAAAGATGAGAAGCTCTGTCAGACGAGCCCTGGCCTGGAAGAGTATCGCACCCCCAAAGGGGTGCAGATGCCTTTTCTCTCCCACCAAGACCATTTCATTCGCAGCTCGTGCCTACAGACGGGCTCTTGCTTTAGCAGGCTCATACATGAGGAGAGGCAGCCCAACGGAGGGGCATCGGTGCTGCACGCTTACGCTGACGAGATCTCTTTTCTGCGGCCTGGAGACACTGAGAGGTTCGCCCGGGAGTTCCTCGAGTTGGCCTTCAGCGAAACTTCTAAGGGAGCGGCGCGCTACGCGCTGTCTGTGATACATGGTGCTGCTGCCTACCTGCCTGATTTCCTGGACTATTTTGCCTTCAACTTTCCCAACACACCAGTCAAAATGGAAATCCTAGGCAAGAAGGACATTGAGACTACTACCATCGCTAACTTTCACTCCCAGGTAAGGTGCTGGGTGATATGTGGACTGTACCAATATACTAATATTGATGTCACGCTGATGTTGTCATATACTGATGTTAGTTTTAGCTGCGTTAAAAGATAAAGATGATTTTAATGATGATATCATTCTATTCCTTAAAATCTCAGGAACACAGAGTAAAATATGAAAAATATTTGTATGATACTAAACTTGAGTGGTATATTAAACATCTAGCAAAGCTGGAGTGAGAAAATGTAAGATATAAATATGATAAAACATGGCTTAAAAACCACTGATTATCTGAGAACTGTGTGGGTGTGGCTAATGAGCAGCTTGATTGACAGCTCTCTACTAATACAAAGCTAAAATCATTATCCAGCTTTTATGTGACGGTAAACTGGATGAAAAAAGTAATGGACAAACGGACGGATGGACAAAGGAACAAACGGATAAACAAATGGACAGACTAAGCACCATGTGAATGAAAGAATGAACGATCGAACAATTTTCATGTTTGGATAACCAAATGAACAGGTGACAGGCAGCTACAGACAGGTGGTTTAACTTGCCAGCTTTTGGTTATACTGGGTTAGCTTTAGCTCGCTAAGTCCCTCCGATTCTGAAACTGTTTTGTGTGGATGGGGCAAGAGATGTCAGCCTTGTGGTTGGTAAGAGGAATGCTTATGGAAATGTTACGCACTGTTAGAACTATCCAGTTTACATCGAAAGGGGAGAATACTGGTGAAATACAGCAGACATTTATTAGCCTTTGTGAAGGTATTCATAAGACATACTTTGTACATCTATATTTTAGACTCAGAGAAACAAGATTAACCTAATTAGATAGAAAACTCAGATTTAGTTTCCCTGGGGCTTTAATATAGCCGCATGCCTGTTGCCCTGGTAGTTAATATGCACTGTATGATTCCCTTTGGAATAGAAACAGAACATAACAATTAGATCAAAAGAAGCTTGTCAGGTTTGTAAAACTAGGAAGTTTAGGTTCATTAACTTTATTAATGCTGACTTAAAAATTTTATATCTATCTATCCATATATATATGGATAGATAGATAGATAGATAAATAGAGAGAGAGAGATTGATTCAGATATCTTTGCAAAACGTCACAGTCAGAAAAAAACCTTATATCTACATTTTTGTCACTTTTTATTTATTATCGGCTTAATATCAGCTGCGATTTAGTCTGTAGCACAATTTTATGACAAACACAAATAGAAATGGTCCAAAATGACTTGGAATAAAATTTCTTCACATCAACTCACATTAAAAGTTAAGACTGTTTTCCCTTTTCGTGTGAAGTAACTTTTTTGGAGAGAGAGGATTTTGTTCTGACAGCGACAAACATATTGTGGTATTGAATTTTATCACTACCGCCCAAGCTAAAGCTTCTCAGCTGTTGACATCTTTCCCTACATACAGTGCCCGCAGCCCAGAAAATACCTGAAAATGAAGATAGCTGAAGCACTTGACGTGTGGAGTCTAAAAACTTTTATTATGTATTTGTGCACACTCTTAATAAAACCTTTGGTAAAAATGGGTCATGGAGTAGCTAAGAGCAAGCGTGCATTTCAATGAAAGTTCTTCCTCAGGCAGCATGCCAGCTTAAAAGTCATGAATAGCAACCCAGCGGGGGTTGTGCATCTGTCAAGTGCACCATTCTTACCATGCTAACCACCAGAGGAGCAACACAGCAGAGACTTTTATTGCTTACTTAAGTCTGGCATCCAGTATGTGGCACTGTCCAAAGTGCATTAACCATCTGCGGAAGTGCCTAGTGCTGTATGCTAGATTCGCCTCTGCTGTCTGGAGGCCAAACGGCGCGGCTTTTGCTCCATGACGTTTCAGAGAGCTGCCCTTGGCTAAACAAACATGCATTAACAGACCTGTTGGAACACTTAGATAGTAGGCAATGAGCTGATATTGACATTTGATTCTGAATGCTCTTTCGAACAGAGAAGCTGACTGTAGAGTTCAAGTGCTTTCATTACTGAGAAAAGTACTTTAGGGTGCTTATAGAAGACAACCAACACAAAATTATTCCAACCAACTCCTGTGTCTCATAATTATGCCACCCATGGAAAACATTTACAGTTTCTAAGTAAAAATAACCCAGGTTGTTGTTAATTAAGACTTGGTTCTACAGTGCAGAGGTGGGCGAAGACTTGAAATCTTTTTATAAAGACATCTGTCAAGGAAATCCTCAAGAATTTGTGTTCTTCACTTGGGTTATATGCATAACATTAACATTACATTGAACTTGAGGTGGGCAATATGGCGATATGTTATTGTCATCAAGATGAACAGTATGCTTTTCGTAGGATATCATCCCTATCTGAAGAACACTGGCCTGGAGTGTTTCGTTAAAAAGAGCATAGTTAGTCCTGTTTAGTTGGATTATTTCAGCACGGTACGTGAAACGTTGAATAACAATCATTGTATCAGAGTTTTTAAATATGGCACCACTAGTGCTTTATGTCTTTGTGTCAGAATATCATGATACATATCATGTATTGTAAAAACCTCTTGATTATTTTGCCGTATCGTCCACATCTGTGTCAAACTTACATTCGAGCTGTGGCTGGTGGCTGGGTTTTAAAGGAACATGTTGTTGCAGGTAAGCCGAACATACTGCTCGGGGACGTACAGGGCCGGCCCCATGAGACAGATCAGCCTGGTGGGGGCCGTGGATGAGGAAGTTGGTGATTATTTCCCTGAGTTCCTGGACATGCTGGAGGAATCGCCATTCCTCAAGGTTAGCAAACATTCCACTGGCAGTATATGGCACAAGGACAGATAATTCATGACTTTCACGGTTGAATTTTTCCTCTCTTCACTAGTGCATGTTAAAATAATTCTCTGAAATCTCACTTTGTTTAAGGACATCTGTTAGTATAGCGTGGTGTCATTCGGTTGGCTGCGCACTTGAGATTGCCTCGCTTGGTTTAATGTCCTGGCTGTGCAGGGTTTGCATCTGTGTTTGGACAGAATTAGTGCCAGAAGGCTGTAATTATTGAGCTGTGTGTCTGTGCAGATGACCTTGCCATGGGGCAGTCTGTCCAGCCTGAAGCTGGACTGTCGTTCTCAAAGCGACGACGGGCCTATCATGTGGGTGCGACCAGGAGAGCAGATGGTTCCCACAGCTGACATGCCGAAGTCTCCGTTTAAGAGACGCAGGTAAACATCTTTATAACCTCCGTCCTGTTGTTACATATTCTGGTAAATGTTTAGTGACACTTGGCTTATGGGTTCACGACAGGAATGAGCGGTTCCGTTCCTGGAGGATCACTGTGTAAGACAGGTCTAATGTTTTTCTTGCTCTAACACACCTTATTCATTGAGCGTTTGATTTATGTTAATGTGTTACAGTAGAGTTAAACACCAAAGTGAACAGTGGTGGAAATGCTTGTTTTAAAGACCTTGTATGTAGGCCTCCACAACGTGGTTATCACGACTTTGGCTTTTGATTTTTCAGGGGTGTGTAATACGCAGCCGATCACTGAATGTTTGTGTGTCCTCACTAGAGATGTAATTGATTAACTGTTTGACCAGTGCTACTGGTTAAAAAAACACATTAGATTTAGTTCATTTGTAATAAACAACAGGTCCTATTTTCTTTAAGCTGAGGAACATTTTTAAATGCAACAGGCAGTTGAATCCACAAAATAGGCCTACAAAAAATGAAGCGCACAGCTAAAAATAGTGGTGTTCACAAGAATGTTTTGTGGGTGATAGTACCAAAATGATGTACCACAACCAAAGCAAACATCCTCAAGTGATAATACAGATGGCTGGTTTATTTGTGCTTTCCAAAAAGAAACTGTGGTGCATATCGGTGTGAGGAAATTACACATGGGTGTGCAAACTTATAGAAAATGACATGGTGGACATGATCTTGGCATTTGTTTCTTTTTTTGGGCTATTAACAAGTGGTATCTTAAGAGTTTTACAATATATTTCATTAGCCCATCATTATCACGTTTTAGTGTGCAGTCATATATAACATAATTGTCAGCTCCTTAGTATAAACAAACCCATCTCTTACGCAGAGTATGTTTAATACAGTTTCCACCATTTAGAACTGTGTTCTGCAGTTCATACAAGTAACACGTTTTTATAACTCAGAGCATTAATACAGAATTCAGTTAATGTGTGCATATTGAGTGTTTTAGACTGGCTCTGAAAACTCCACCAGTTAGATTTTAGAACCGGAAATGCAGTCTGTTTTGTCATTCATTTTGTTAGGTTTTGTCCTTTAGGCTTGCTGGTTAACTATTTAATGTTGACTAATGACAGTTGATTATTGTTTTAAAACTCTTGCAAAATTATGCGTGCCTTGTTTGCTTGGACATGATACAATAAAGAAATAATTTGGGTCAAAAATTATGCAGGATAATCTGTGACAGTCACATTAAGGGGTTCACTAACAAATTGGAAAGTAAATTGCAGTCGAATGTAATTTGCAATAAGCACAATTGCTAGATTGAGGATTAGCTTTATTTGAGAGTTTAGCTGGGTGCATTTTCAACAGCTTTACTTATAAGCTATGCTTTGTGATATTAGAAATGTTTGGGGTAAGAAACATGGACTGTTATGAATTTTAGACAAGTTGTGTAACATGGGCCTCCAATGGTGCTTGCAGATCCATGAATGAGATCAAGAACCTGCACTACTTGCCACGGACCAGCGAGCCCCGGGAGGTTCTGTTTGAGGATAGGACAAGAGCCCATGCAGACCATGTGGGCCAGAGCTTCGACTGGCAGAGCACGGCCGCCGTGGGGGTCCTGAAGGCAGTGCAGTTTGGAGAGTGGTGAGTGATAGTGTTCACACACCTCCTGGGATATATCTCATACTGTAATGACATGGTTGAACGGCTGTGCGGAAATGGCTTCTTGACCGTAAACAGACTGACCTTTTGATGTTGCTTTTTATCTGTGATCTGTCACGCAGGAGTGACCGACCGAGGATAACCAAAGACGTGGTCTGTTTTCATGCTGAGGACTTCAGTGACGTCGTGCAGAGGCTTCAGCTTGACCTGTATGAGCCTCCTGTGTCACAGGTAGGTACAGTACTCTTGTCTTTTTGAGGTTGCGAACAAAAGAATTGCTCACAGATTAGGAAGTACTAGCTTAAACAGCTCCATTTGTAGTGGAGAACTGTTTGAAGTGAGGGAGTTATTGTGCCGTTGAAAGGATAAGCAAGAGCCTGGGGCATTAGGCTTGTTTATACGTTTATTTGGCTTGATTTGTGACTCAAAGCAAAGCCTTGTTAAGAATTGCAGTACCCACTGACCCTGCAGTTAACCAGAGGGCCAAGGTAGAGTTCATACCATGGTCAGTTTGTCACTCTAAGGACAGTATGTCTGGATTTTTAATCAGATTTAAATTTTTTTTTAATAAGTATGCAATTTTGAAAAAAGGAATTTTAAATGTTTTTCCAAAACGCTTTTACAAAATGCTGAAGATTTCTTGAAATGCTTTAAAAACAAGTGGTATATGGTGATTTTCTTTTTCTGAACATATTTCTACATTCAAAAGCATGCTTACTCTGCACAAATGTCTCTGCTGGTCGTAAACGTTTTCCTCTACAAAGCAAAATTCGCTTGTCATAGTTGCTGCTTGGATTGAAAAACATGTTTGATTTGCTGTCACTTCAGATTGTTCCTTGTGTGGGGGTAAATTTAGGTCAAATTCCTCTCATATGCCTCTACTATTAGAACAGTGTACAAAAGGAGCTAATTATTTTTCTGGAATTGGTAGCTCTGGTTAAATTTGTTACAGATCTCAGCAGTTAGTTTTTTTTTTGTTTTGTTTTTTTTTGACAAAAAATGTTGGAAAGTGTAACCAGGCTGTTGTACCATTGTACTTGCAAGAGTACATTTCCATTCACTGAAATCTCTGAATTTGAGTAATTTATTTTTTTCTAATGCACAGTGCAATGTTCACTAAAAGGACTGAACTGGATTGGAAGTTGCTAATTCTGTGAAACTTAAAGGGGAACTCTGGCCAAAATGACCCAAAATTGTATTAAGCGCACCGACATAACAACCCAGTTTATTTTAAACTACGGGCTGGCGGTTATAATATATGTATGATTACATAACCAAAAACCAAAAAGTTGATGAAATGACTGAAATATACAGTGATGCGCTAATGGAAGTTATGTCTTCTCAAGTTAAATTACTCCTTCATTTCTAGCCATGAAACATACAAAAATCCATGACCCAGGCTAGCTTTAGCTCAGTGTGCCTAAGCAGCTTTCGAACGCCCTCACTGTCCACCATGCATCGCACATATATCAGAGAACATGGATGAAACTAGGGATGCATTGATAGCATTTTTTCCAGACCGATACTGAGTCTGGTACCGTACTGCGTAACCTACTTAAGGATGAATGAAGTAGTTAGCTAGTGCTAGTTAGCTATTGTTCTTTGGTCACTCGCACTGTATTTTTGAATAGTCCAGCGTGTATGGACAAAGCCTACGATTTATATACTCTCACTGTACGAAAACTCTCTGTCCATGCTTTGTGAAACGCTCTGTCCTTGAACTATTTCAAATCTGTTTCATTCAAAATAACACTCTAAACACTGAGTACTGAGCAAAGAGAGACTGAGCAGCGATGCGATCACTGAGCACTGAAGCTACAAGCAATTACAAGCAAGCTACAATTTTACTTTGATATGGTACACTGTTGTAGTTCTGCTAATATCACCTTGAAAGTGGTCCTGAACACCACTGTTGATAGCTGCTTAATTTTTTAGTAGCTCCAGTGGAGCCAGTTGCCTGTCTTGTGTATATTTTAAAAACCCACCTATTTAAATAGGAACTTTTGTTAATTGAAAATTAAAGTTAAATTAACTTTTACCGATAGCATTTGTAAACTATAGGTGAGAGCGTAAGAGGGGGAACCCCCTTCTGATGACTCTTCAAAGTGGGAGAAACTTTTGAAAAACTGCAGTTGCTTTGGGACAAATATGTGAGAGGCAGCTGTTTGTTTGTTAGCCAGATAGCTAAAGTTACTGAAGCCAAATATCATGTCTGTTTTTATTAGCCTCTACATCAGTGGCAATTCACTGGATTTGTTTCATCACTGTGGAAGGATTCCCAGTGACTGTATGATATATTTGCATAATGCATGCTGGGTATTGTAGTAAGAGAACGCTGATGAACGTAAACCCAGAGGTTGCAAAATCATGAAATTGACATCAAACTGACAAGGCTGTGGATTATTACATAGCTAATGTAATAAGTGCTGGTTTTAGACCAGAATGCCCCTTTAATGATGGTGTTAGAAGGCCTGTGTTTTGCACTTAGTTTGCGATGATTGTATGGTCAGCACACAGTCAGCTGTAGCTGGATAAGTACAACTTATAGGTCATAATGGAGTAAGGTAGATTTTGCACTCGAGTAACACTCCTGTCCCTGCAGTGTGTCCAGTGGGTGGATGATGCTAAACTGAACCAGCTGCGGCGAGAGGGCATCCGCTACGTCCGCGTACAGCTGTGTGATGACGACATCTACTTCATCCCTCGCAATGTCATCCACCAGTTCAAGACTGTGTCTGCTGTGTGCAGCCTGGCCTGGCACATCCGCCTCCAGCAGTACCAACCTGAGGATGAGGGCAAGGAAGTAGAGGCCAAGTCCAGTGAGCCAAAATCCAAATCTCCTCCAGCAGCCGAGACCAAAGCTCCGTCCTGCACCACGGGGCTGCAGAAAAAAGAGCTAGCGGCAAATTCGGCAACCAAGTCTGACAAGCCTGTTTTCCAACGACCGGCCACACCTCCTAGAGAACCTACGCCAGTCCCTCCTCAACCGGCTCCTCCTCAGCCAGCTACGTCTGCTCACGCTCCCCCCAGTCCCGTGTGTTTGGACCGCACCCTTGGCTCCTGCTCACTCGCCACCACCTCTCCAGAGCCAGCGCTTCCTCAGGCTTGCCTAGAACCCAGCCCAGACGCCGCCCTCAATAGCAGCGCCCATTGCAGGCCCACTGATCTCCCCGAATAACCTGCCAACCAAACCCCTTCTTTCACAGGTGGGCTGAAATTTATTTAATGAACTTGACTGACATTCCAGTAAAGAAGTTGGACTGTCAAAAAAGCATATTTGGACTTCCTGTAAACTTATAAAGACTATATATTTTTTTCTTTTTAAGGTTTTGGTTAAGAAATAACCCCGTAAATACTTTTTAGGTTTTTCTCAGCCAAAGTATTTAATTTTAATAATATTTTTGCTGATTACTCAGTGTTGTTTTATATTTGTTTATATCTGAAATGGAGATCTCTCAAGAGGAACTTTTCGTATCGTTTCCCTAACTGTGCATCATGTGGATCAGCAAATTGGTTTTTACAAAAAAACAAAAAAAGTGCCTGTCACAAGTGGAGAACAGCAATCATGTCTCAAAAGAAGCAAATGATCTTGGTCTTGTTCTTTTCCCTGGTAGTTCTGTTTGTTATATTTAAGCTTAGGCTAGAGAACTGATATCAGTTGAAAGTGATTTGCTTTTTCATCAATGAGCAGGATTGGTTCTGATTTTGTGTTGTGCTGTTTGGCTTGATAAGAAAGCTAATTATTTTCATGCTGTTTTCCAAATGAGTAATAAACAAGCAACTACTCTCAAAGAGAAAGGCTTTGCGAACATGCATCTCTTTCAAGTTTAATTGCGCCGTGCACACAGAATTTAGGATCTGACGGCAGCAAGCACAGAGCAGAAGTTTCTAATGGGTAGTTTATAGCTCTGATGCTGATGGCGTGCATTTGTAGAATAATTAGCTTATTTGATATGAATTTCTCAGGGTCCTTCATCCAGGAACCACTCGTGCTTTTTGATGCCAGGTTTCTATCTGCAATTGGAAGCTCTAGTTAAATTTGTTATAGTTCTCAGCCTTAACCCACAACTGGTTGGTGTTTTTGGTAGGAAATAAGTTGAAGTGTGACCAGACTGAAACACCATTGTACAGTGCATTTCCATTCACTTAAGCCTCCTCTGAATTTGAGTTTTTCTCAGACGCAGTGGATCATTACCTCTAATACCAATTAAAAGGCCTGAACTGGATTGGAAGTTCCAAGTTTCTGCCGGTGTTCGTTTGGTTTCAGAATGTGGGTGGTCTGTGCCTGTAATTCATTAGCGCAGATGAAGGGCAGTTGGAAGCTGCTTGATTTAATGACTTCTGAGAGTGAGAGTGTGCCAACTAAATCGCTATCTTTAGTGCAATTCTAAAACACGCTAAACATTAAAGGCATAATGCTGGTTCTTGGTATTCTCAGTCATTTTGAGTAAAGAGCGATTGCCTGACTTAAACGTTTCGAGCCTTTTTAAACTGTGCTTTTTCTATTGCCTGAGTACATTTGCCTTGCTGGTTAATGGACATTTTCTTCCTGTTATCTGTCAGTGCTTGGGATTTAACGTTACTCTTTCTTCCAAGCTGTTCTCCTTGATCATAGTTCTTGATGGGGCAGTTCTGTCAAAGACTTGCTTGCTTTTCACACAACTATGGGAAAGCCGTATAACATGATCAGGTTCTGAAGCTCCATTTTATGAAGGAAATAACAGTTGGTCTTTGCTAAGTAACAGTTTAATATGTATTGTTCAAATCACGACTGACTATGCTCCATTCTAATCTAGTTCCCTGCTTCAAAATGTTTATTATTTATGTATATGTTTATAGGAGGTAGGGGTGGGGTGTTCTGTTTCTTCTGTGGTTGAATTTTAAAATGTCCCTAGTAATTAATGATGAGCATTTTTAGGACTGTACTATCTGAGATGGTAGTTTCAAAGTGCAAATTAGTCAGTGCTGTTTTTAGTAATATTGTATGTCTAATGTAATTTGCACATGTCGGTATGATGATATCATGCTCCTCAAAGCGGTTATGTCTCAACATCGGCATTTATTCACATGGAAAAGGCTTCGTCGACCGTAGCCACGAAGTACTGTCGTTTCTTAAAACTGACCTTGTGCGTCATCCACACGGAGATTGGAATGTATTTCATCTTCACACCAGCAAGAGAATGAATCCTAATGGCTTGCTGCATGGGTCACTCATAAGAGGACTCCTTAATGTCTTTCTCTGATGCAGTGATTGCCTCCTAGATCAAATGAGTGCCTTTTAGCAAGTCTTACTCTCAACGCATGGTGTCCTACAAGCAGTTGTTCTTCCAAATACTCGGAGGCGTCGATTACGGCAGAGCTGCGCAGAGTCTAGCAATAATTAATGTCCATTCATCATTTGGCTAGACCTCAGTAAATCAGTAATGAGCCTTCCTTCGCCCTCTCGCTGGGATAAAATTTCACACATACTCTAACAAATGAGGGAGGCCATTTTGTACATCACAAAGAGGAAGACATCGTTGTCAGTTTTAATAAAGAAGCAGCTTCTACAATGTGCAATACAACACACATCATATTTCCATGTATTTCACACATTTCAGTGCGGTGACAAGGTGAACAGAGTCACTTCTGTTCTTTTGGGATCACAGACTGTCTGTGTACGGCAGCGAGTTTAAAATAACGTTTCTAATTATATTTCATCCTCACCAGGCATTGACCGTTACAATTCAGGACTTACAGTCTCGCAGGAATTCAAGAGGAGAACTGTCGTTCATCACTTTTGTATGATGATGCATTTTCTGGGAATAATTGGTAACTTGGGAATATTTACGTCGGCCTGCCTTTTTCCACTTTCTCCTCCCCTGGATTCGTTCTTTCTAAGCACTTAAAGCTCTTATTAATATTCTGTTTTATTATTACATCGCATATATGGATAAACACACAGTATGTGCTGTGTTACTTCTGACTACTGGCAGCTACTTTCCTTTATTTTGTTGTTGTTATTGTTATTTAAGGTTTTTGATTGTTCTGTGTACTATAGGAAAAAAATCCGCTAGAGAATCAAGGCATGCTTTGTGTGAGTTTCATTCAATATCATTAATTGCTGTTGTTGATGTTTGTATTAAGATATTAAGAGGTCTCCATTTTACTGAATTTATTTTACTTTTATTTCTTTTTTAAGGACTTAGTCCGGTATAAACAGAAGTCTTTTGTAAATAATCAGTGACATTTAATAGAACGGTTATGTGGATACTCTTAATCATGTGTATAAAAACATACAATGGAATGCATAGACTTTTTCTGTATTTTTTTAAAATAAATCATTTTATGAGTGTACCAAAGTTTTATTTTTCTGAAAAGGACACCAGTTTGAACATTTCAGCAGCGCATAAATACATTACAAAGTCCAAAAAAGCACAAGTTTGACAGTACAGTCCACTCAAAAAAAAAAAAAGTGTGTGTGTGTGTTTTAAATAAAACATCTTTGTGGTGTAGACAATGATTTGGTACCAAAGGCTCTCCAGTGTAAGAAACGACTCCCTACAACTACATATCCTTTGCTGGGTTCCTCGTTAAGGGGTGGGAGAAATGTCTCTGGTGGTTCAGCCTGTGTCCTAACAGCATATTACCCCTTTCTGTTCGCTCATTATGTGCTCTCTAATGTACGTCCATCATGCCATCGAATGTTTTCATTTTATAACGAAACAAAATGAACAAGGATGCTGACACAGATTGTGCTTTTCTGTTAGCCTCAGAATGAGAAAGTTGTTCATGTTGCCTGTGGTTTATTACGCAGGTCTAATAGAGAGCAAAGCGGTCCTCGCAGAGTTTGTCCCAAATGACAAAAACTATTACTCTGTCACCGCTAACGTGCTTCCATTTGTTCCAGGCACTCGCTTTGGTGATTGCGCCACACCTGTGCTTCACAAACAAAGCCAGGTTCACCAAATTACAACAGTGTTTCATTACACATGAGAAAACGGGGTAAAACAAAAGTACATTTTCATCTGTCTTCTAAATACAATACAAAATATTTTGTGCATAGTTGTCATACAGAAGTCCACTGGAGCTTTTTGAGCTTTGGCTCATATATACAACAAACAGGTAGTCTGCTAAGCATGTAACAGGCATAGAGAAATAGTTGTGCAATTTGTTTTACTTTCAGTTTTATGAGAAAGCTGTACCAAATATGCAAAAACAGCAGTGTGGCAGTCCTTCACATAATATAGGCTGATCCTAATCAGATCAAAATAGACCCAATCAGTAGCAAACTAGGGCTGCGCAATTCATCATTACAGTGATATCGGCCTTTGCAATACCGATAAAACAGAAGGCTGTAATATGGAACTTAGCCTTCTAACAAATCCCGCATTTTTATTATTATGTGCTGTGAGCATCCTGACTAATCACTGTTAATCTAGCTCCGTTTCAGTTGATCCAATAAACAAATCATTTTGCTCTGAAATAACAGTGGCCAGTCCTGAATCACAAGGATTCACTAGTGCACACTGCAATATGTACTCAAAGACATGATGCCTTACATTCACTTGATTCAAATGTGTACATTTCCACATAGATAAAACAGGATATCAACAGTTGTTGCCAAAAAAATATAAACAAAGACAAAACTGTATTTATTTATGTTAAAATGATGCACATTGGAGTCATCTAGATTCTATATGTACCCCCCCCCCTTATGGTATTATTTTGTCCATGTTGTGCAGCCTGTAACCACATTACACGCTGTGTTCTGCAAGGCAGAATAGCTTCTTTAGGCTGGTTGGTCTTCAAGGCCTAACTGAAGACTCTTCGCTGCTGGCGTTGCACTGTCTGAAAGGCTGATGGAAGCAGCTGTGCTCAGGAGCCCTCCCCAAACGCTATGAGGCACTTCCTGTCCCAGCTCGTTCTTACACCCACGTCTCCGGATGGGTTCTTGGCCCTTTGGGCTTCCCAAAGCGTGTCCCAAAGCCTGGTGGAGGAGGGGATTAAAAAACATGATGTCAGGTACAGTGGGGCTAGACAAAAATACAACATGTAAATGTATGAAAATAAACTACAAAATACTGCAACTATGAAATCTAAATAAAATACACTGTTTTGAAAGTACAAAAAAAAAATACACTTCTAGTGCAGTATGAGATCATCACTAACAGTATAAAATTTGTTTTTAAGAGGAAAACCTAGATATTTACTAAGTATTCACTACATTTAACTAAATACATATAGATATATGTCTGAAATATGGGTTAAACACAAAAACACCTATGTCATATTGGGTAGTTGTGGAGCTCAGCGTGCTGAGTGAGGGCTTTTACTGAATTTAACCCACAACAGCACCACCCTGTGGCAGCATACAGGCCTTGCATGGTGCTGTACGTCATTCCTTGATGCACTGATGGTTTTAGGAGTGCAGATGGCTGTATGATGAGCAGAGGAACCTTACCAAATTTGAATCCTCCAATAGCAGCACTGGGTGGAGCAGCAGGAGCAGCAGAAGGTGGAGCTGCCTTTGCTGCAAGCATAATAGTAATAATAATATATAACCAAGAACAGGGCTGCCCAAAGTGAGGACATTTGGTTTGGCCCACCAGAAGGTTGCCAAAATCCCCTCATTCAAGAAGAGAGGAAACATTTCCCTTTTAAGATTTTTCAAATACTTTTTTAAACAAAACATACTCATACTATACGCTTTTTAAAAATCTATGGCACAATCGTCACTAACACACAGGTTTAACCACACGTATGTAGCTAACAGTTAAAAGCTAATTGCAAAAATGGACAATGGTCATAAAAGGCAGTGGCACTTGGAGAAAAAGAGATTTAGGTGCCACAGGCGTGAAGAATATCTTTTCAGTGAAATTAAAGACGAACAGTGTGCTTCATAAGTAAGGACAGTGCTGCAGTGTTTAAAGAATACAAAATTTCTCTCACATTATAGACATCTTAACATTTTGTTTTTAAAAAACAGTGATTGTCATGTGAATCGTTGCCACAATACTCACTTTTTCTTCCTTTCAAAAACCTCAAACTCTGCATGAACAGAAAAAGAGTCTGATGAAGTCATATACACTGTAGTATAATCGCATAATATAGGTGGTGTGTATCTAGTGTGCAAGACACTAATGACTATATTTTCCCCACACGTACCAATAGGTAACAAACAGAAACTTTTGAGAGTGGAAAAAGGCATCAATCTGAAAGCAGTGGATTCAGCTGCATTGATTCTGAAGGTTAGAATCAATTAGAGCTGATTGTTTTACAAGTATTATACAGTAAGTATGCACTCATTTCATCATATCTTGAGTATTTTCAAACATAACAAAAAAGCTTATTGGTATATTATTTATATTCCACTAATATGTACTCCCTTCAGTGTATTTTTATGAATTATTCTGAATCGTATAACTGAAATGAATTCAAACATGATGCACTGGGTCATTTCATAAAGGATCACATGTGAATTGAGCTGTTCTGAGTTCAGACCAATACCACAGTTAATAACTAAAAAAGTGTAAGAGATAAACCTTTGTCCTGGATTTTTTGGCCAGTGATGTCCTCTCAGTAGCTGCGTCTGGTTGGTTCGCCACTGGTCTGGCGGGGACAGAAAGTCTGCCCGTCCACTGGCTGCTGCTCTCCTGCTGGACCAACACACTTTAAATTGACAGTGTTTCTACAGTGATGTATGTTTTATAGGAGTTGTGCGACTGTGCTGTCAGTTACCTCTCTGTGCTGTAACCGTGGTTGTGGCGGCGGCAGTGGACAGAGGAGCTAGAGATGAAGACTCTGCAAGAGTTAACACAATAGCTCATCACATACACACTCCTCCAGAGGCTTAGAAATTAGCATTTTCCTTCCTAACGTCAACATAATATTATGTATTATGAATGGTGGAAGAGGTCAGAAGTTACTCATTCTGTAAAAATGATAATGTTTACAGCGCTCTGCACGGTATTAAGTTTCCCTTATGGGTAAGTCAAAGGTTTGTAATAATGTTTTTAATCTTTCCCAAGTTGCTGCAACTTCAGCCCAACAAATGTGCATGAGGAGCTCCATGAATTGTGTTTCCATGGCTGAGCAGCTGCACGCAAGCCTAAAATCACCCTGTGCAATGCCAAGCATTTGGCTGGAATGGTGTACAGCACACCGCCATTGGACTCTGGAGCAGTGGAAACGTTCTCTGGAGTGATAAATCACATTTCACTATCTGGCAGTCTGATGGATGAACCTGAGTTTGATGGATGCCAGGAGAACGCTACCTACCGGAATGCATAGTGTCAACTGTAAAGTTTAGTGGAGGAGGGATAATGATTTGGGGCTGTTTTTAAGTGTTTGGGCTAGACCCTTTAGTTTTAGTAATGTAATGCTGCTGCATACAAAGACTTTTCAGACAATTATATGCTTCCAACTTTGTGGCAACAGTTTGGAGAAGGCCCTTTTCTCTTTCAGCATGACTGCACAAAGTGAGCATGAGACATGCTTTGACGGGTTTGGTGAAGAGTGGCCTGCACAAAGCCTGACCTCAACCCCACTGAACACCTCTGGGATGAATTGGAATGTCGACTGTCTGAATAGGCACAAATTCCCACAGACACGCTCCAAAATCTTGTGAAAAAGTGTTCTCAGAAGAGTGGGGGCTGTTATAGCCACAAAGGGGGTGTCTCTATATTAATGCCCATAGTTGTGCAATGAAATGTCCAACAAGCTCATATAGATTGGGTGCCCTTGTGCAAAGGTTATATTTTACATTTTATGGATTATTTTTTCCAGTATGTTGAACTCAGTGAATAAAGAGATATTGTGCACTAAAATCTGCAAAAAAAACATAGGTAAGTTTGTTCCCTCTAGAGGATGTGTTTACTTATTTTTTATTTCAAAAATCAACAGGGATTGTGATTTGACTGGGGGTGTTCAAACTTTTGTTTAGGACTGTATAGACCATTTCATAAAGGAAGGCTAAAGTTTAAAGGACAGAACTATTCAACTGAAGCAAAAGGGCTTAACAAAGGTTACTTAAGTACACTAAGAGCAATGCAACATCTGCTGTGTGGTGTAACGCTGTCTGAACAATAATCTACTATAAAAGGAAGGAGGGATTCAGTGCAAATGCTTACCTTTTTTTGAACTTCTCACTTTAACACTCTGTTGGAAAACAGTTACACACACACATTAGCTTATACAGCATCAAACAGCTGGCCTGTGTGAGTCATTACTGAAGCGGAATTTAGCTCAAAGTGATCTTTTTCAGACTGCATTTTGGGGTGTTACACTCACACACACACACGTACTCTCTCTCTCTCTCTCTCTCTCTCTCTCTCTCTCTCTCTATATATATATATATATATATATATATATATATAGAGAGAGAGAGAGAGAGAGAGAGAGATAGATAGATAGATATAGATAGTACTATCTGCCATGAACCAGTACTGGAGGGGGTTGTAGTCAAAATCCAAACTTGCTGGACACTTACAAAGTTAAAATGATCTTAAGTGGGAGAGAAAAGAGCTGAAAGCGATAATCAAACAGAACATGTGGTTACCGTTATGCTACAGTGCTGTTGTGAAACTGGCCCTAGAGCTCTTTTGGTGGCTTTCCTTTGACTCTCTCACATGAGATGTGAACAGAAATGTCGTTCTCTGCATTTTTTTTCCATATCATTGATTCTTTAACCACAACCAGAAACTCTAAGTGTTACTAAGTGTTACTAAGTGTCTGGGTGTTCCTTTAGCAGGGTGACTGTGTCTTAGTTTACAGTGAACAGAATGAGTTTCTTGCGATGGAAAAGAGGAGAAGTGTGAATCACTTTGCTTCTGCTCATGACGTCTAGGAACGTCCTGGTCTGGGTGTTCCCTGCCCACTCAGACGAGGTGCCTAGCCGCTGCCTTTGGTGCAGCATATCAGATGACTGACAGGGGGCGTTGTTGCTCTGCTCTGCAGGAAACGAGAAAAGAAAGTTCTCAGAGAACTTCATAGTTGAGATGGCCAAAGCCACTGACTTTCTTTTTAATCTAATTCTACATAATATTAAGGCTAGTATGGTGAAGGACCAATAGAACTAACTTACATTAAAAGGAAAGAATACTGTTGCTTTCTCCTATAAAGTTATCGTTTTGGAGTCTTGAAGTTGATCAATTCTTCAGTGTAGTCTTAACTAACATATCTAGCCTGTATATGCCTACACACTTGTTAATGTAAAACTGTGCTGGCTCATAGAATAACATGTTTCAAGTATTTACCAGTGTTAGTTAATTCAAGTTACCTAATATTAGGCCTATAAGCAGAAGAAGCAGTTGCTTAGAGACCTCAAACTACCAAGTGGCTCCACAAATAAGCAGTATTTACTATTTTATTTGAATTATTATTTATTTATTTTATTTATGCATTCAGTTTCTCATATATACTTATTTAATGCTACATTAGCACTTAAATTGTTTTCCTGATGAAAATTAACGACATATCTACTGGGGTGGGTAGCCAGCCCCCCAGTAGGATGTCACATATGGTCCGCAAAGGTTTAGAAATGGCCTTGTGTGCTCCTGTCCTTCACATTCATTTGCGAAAGAATTTTTTCTGATTTTTTTAGCATCAAATATGCATTTGATTGCATTAATACAATTATTAATACATGGTTGTTGTCACAACATAGCCAAAATGGTAATTTTACAGCAGAACACTTTATAAAAGTTAAGGTAACAAGATATGATTCTAAGTATTTGTGGATAATTTGCATTGACCTATTCATGATAAAATGTTCACATAAGGGAATAAAATTCGACAAAAAATGGAGATACAAGGTTTTGTCTCAGTAGTGACGATACTAAAATTACAGGTTAAAAAAAATATATTTATCAACGGTGGCTGTAAAAGGAAACATCAATACTGGACGTGTGAACACTTGAGATTCATTTGCTCATCCCTACTTTACCCTTCATAAACATATGAAGTAATCCTCAACTGAGTGAGAATTTTACACGTTACACGTTAGAAACGTTCACCACTGCTTAGCCCTGTCTCTAATCTATATGGCTACTACAATATAGAGGTTACAGTGGACTACTGGACACTGTTTTGGATCAATTTGACCTCAGTGTACCTTCCTGTGTGTCCAGGATGAAGGACTCTGGGGTTCTCTTAGGGAGTGGAGGGGTGAGGGACGCCGGACTCGCTGGAGAAAAAAGAAACATGAAATTTGAGCAAGAGTGCTGTGAGAACACATTTACATGTATGGAATGTTTCAGATTAGACTACAGAATGTTGATTTAGATGGAAATATACCACCACATGACTCTGAAGGCCGTGCAGGCAGAGGAGGAGTGAGACATGGTGGAGGATCCTGAGTCAAAACTGAGAAATAAAAAAAATAATAAATGCTTTTATTTAAATTCATATACAGGTGATTACCAGCTTGTCTGGAAAGAAAACTGTTGGGTTGCAGGCTGGCTGATATTTACAGAGCCCGAAACAGTTCCTTAAAAGTGCAGTACAATTTGTTAGCTGATCATGGAATTAGTTTAATCAAAAGCAACATGTCAAGAAGACTGAGTGCTTCCTGCTCCAGTGCACTTTTTCTATTTCACTGAGCAGGAATTGACTGATTGATGTGATTTTTTGCTTTGTAAATACAAAAACTGCAAACTGCCTTGCTTCTAGCCACTTACCATCAGAAGTAGCTAAAGCCTGTAAACTGTTTAACTGTAGGGATTGTGCGTAAACAGCTGGGAGATGGATACATTAAAATGTATACAGATGTAGAGATGTTTGTTACCTTCTGAAGGTCTTTCAAGAGGAGCGAGAGGTTGAATGTGAGCTGGAACTGGGTGGGTTGAGGGGAAGGGAGACGGAACACTCATGTTAGCGTTCATGTGAGTTTGTGTTGTCAAAATAATGTTCTTGCTGTTGATTTTGTTGTCTTTGATTATGATCCCATTTCAAGATTTGTTGTAAAGTAAAAGATAATTGTAGATAAAAGGTTGTTTAGCATGAAGTTTGTATTGATATTGAGCTGAGATACGTATTTGACGGACTTACCATGAAGTGACACTGTCAATCTAGCTCTTAAACTCTGTAAGGAGAAAAATATTTATTAGCAGGTTTATTAGAAACACCTACAGTAAGCCAAAGATCACCCTTTAATTAATTTAATGCCAGTAAAACGGCCAAGTTATTGATTTTTCACTATCAGGAAAAAATGGAAACCATATATTTAACCAAAAATCGCACAAAAGACTCAACAACTAAATATAATATCTTATAAAACTTTTTCAGTATATAGTCCACCCTTTACCTTTCTTACAGCTTCCATTCTTTTCAGGAGACTTACTTTTAGTTTTTTGAAAAAAAGTTCACCATCTCAGTTACGCATTTAGACACATCCACAAACCCTTATTCCACAGATATTATTTGGGTGGACGATTCTCAGCACAGCAGTGACACTTACACAGTAGTGGTCTGATAGTGTGTGTGATGGGTACAGCAGTGTTAGAGTTTTCACAAACATCAGTGTCACTGTCAGATTGAGATTGGTCCATCAAGAGTGGACCAGTCTGCTGATGAAAGACTACAGGATGGCTAACAGAAATTGTTCATGACAAGAGCTACAGTCTCTAAATGGACACCAGCAAGAGAGTAATGTCTTGTCAGTACTGTATTACACTTGAAACCCTGTCAGCTTTGCAAATACTCCCCAAAAGTGGAACGCAGCACTGTGCTCGTAAGACCACTCACATAACTTATCATGAGGGTGGAGTAAATCTCAGTGACTGCTTACCTTGCTCCTGGACCAGGTTCTCATAATGTCTGAGTCTGAGTTTGAATTCCCAGACCATTCAGAGGACTTCCCAACTCGGAGCACAGTTTGCTGGGGCTTCTCTTGTACTGCATTCTGCACTAAATCTGTTAGAAGATAAACACAGGTACATGATCTCCTTTTCACTCATTGAGCAAAAACCCCTTAAACCGCAGTCGAGAACTTGAAGACTTATTATTCAGAAGCACCTATGAATAGTTCGGTAACCACTATAAAAGTAATATGTAAGTTATGTACTTAGGAGAGTGAGGAACTGAAGTGTGAGTCACATACAGGCCGCTACGAGCGTTCTCATTCGTATTTCAATCAGTGGCCGGTCTCCTCATTTATAACGTCTCTGATGTAAACAGTGACTATTTGTGCTGGATTTATGTGTCGCCAGGCATATTACCATTCAGGAAGGGATACTGTTGCCAATATACAAATTAACCATTGGTAACCAGTTAAACTATAAGCCAAAACACGTGAAAAAACCATCAGAAACCAAAAGAAACACTTAATGGTTTCTATGGGTTTTTTTTCAGCAGAGATACGTTCAAAAACTAAAGTTTGTTTTAGCCTAAAGCTTATTGTGCTCAGTTTAAGCCTGCTTAAGATGAAGTTTTATCCCTGCACATGTAATGTAAGTGTACACATAAAGCTCCCGTTTCAAGCATAAACTATTGAGCTATATGTCTATATAACCCACTTACTCAGGCCACATCAGCTGTAGTTTGTAGTTTCTTTCACAATATGGGGCGGGTTAAAAATGAATGGTTAATAAAGTCAGTTTCCATCAGACATTATGTAAGTTGTGTGATTAAGAACCAAGTGATCAGAAAATGTCTGGGTTTTTGTGTTTAAGAAATCAGCAATCTTTTTAGCAACATGTAGCATTTTACAAGATCTGGTACTATCCTACCTTCATCGGTAGCCAATTCATAGGACTCTGGCGTTCTCTCAGGCAGAGGGGGCGCTGGAGAGGGTGGGCTTCCTGCAGGGAAATAGGGCTCTTACTGCTTTGACAAGACCCATGAGATAGGGCAGTGACTTAGTTTCAGTTTTCAAAGTTTCTCCTGTGTTTTTAGCCACTTACCTCCATTCACTGTCTCAGAGGCAGTTTCAGGCGGGATGATCAACACCAAATTCTGGCTAACCGAAGTGTTATCTGTGACTAAAAGACGGTGCATTGAGATTAATCAATGTAGAGAACCGGAGACTGAAATGAAGATTAAGCTAGCGTCATTACAGGACAGAGTTACGCCATTTCTAAAGATGAATGGAGAAGGAGCTGAAACTTAAATCCATTGTCTTGCTTACATGAACTGAAATTTAACTGGCAAATGAGAGGAAGTGAAAAAGGGCACTGTGTTTTTTCTGGGGAATTAAATATGTGCAATGCAGTGGGTAGCGTTCACCTCAGTTCACTGTTTTGACTATTTTTGATACTGAGCTTAATTTAAGATAAAATTAAATACTGAAGCACATGGCCTTGATTTTCAGGCGGCAGTTTTTTACCTGAGCATGATGCTTCATTTAAATGTTACCTCTGCGGGTGGGGGGGGCATATTCTCAATATTATTGATGTCCTAAAAAAACATATATCTCTGAAATTGTAACTTTGTAGGAGAAGGAAAAATGTTTTTAACTTTTAATTGACAAGTAATTTTGAACTATATTAGTCCATTCCTCAAAAAACATTCACATACTATAAGTATTCAAATGATGAAGACAAAAATACTTATGGTTTCGATATGACAGTGTTGATATGTATCCGTTAGTCTCTTATAGAGAATGAAATGAACACCAAAGTGTAGCAAGACTACCACCAAATAAAGTCTTCTTAAATCTCAGTTTTAATGATGAAATCATGGTGCTTTTATAAGGACATAGCGAATATTTTAACACTTAGTTTCATTGTTAATGGACACCATGCTGTGTGGAAAAAGTCATTGTCTAATATATAATTATACCACCTTTCTGTCTTGGCGGTCAAAATGCAATGTTTGTGGTAGTTTGAGGTACAAAAAGAAAAAAATATATATATATATACACACACAGAAGCCTTAACAACTAAATATACAAATGTTCAGTATTTTGTTTGTCCACCTTTTGCCTTTATTACAGGTTCCTTTTTTTGCTTTCAGTTTTTCAAAGAAATCTTTTTCCACTCCTCCAAAGTTCGGTCTTACAAGTTGGTTGCATGCATATTTGTGATTCTAATTAGAAATTTAGACTCATTAGTCCAGAAAACTTCCTCCACATCTCAGATAATAGTTTCAGTGTTCTAGTGCAAATTTTCTTCTTTTTTTGTCTGTTTCCTTTTCTCAGTAAGGAATTCTCGACAGCTGCACATCCTTTAAAGCTCATAGTGTTGAGTAGTCTTCTCACATTGGAAGGATGGACAGAAACATCTGTGGATTTTTTCAAATCTGAAGGAAGAGTGGAGCTTGATTTGTCTTCATTCTCTCAAAGATGAAAGCTTCAAGTACAGTTTATCTGATGGGGAAAGTCTTGGTGATCTAACAGATCTTGCACGCTTGTCAGGAGTTCAGTTTTCTCTGTATTTTTTAAATCATTTTATGAATGTTTTTTCACTTATTTTACTTTCTCCTTCCTTGTGCAAGTGGATTATCTTATATCTAATCTCCTCATAATATCTCCTGAACAATCAATAACTTATAGTTAATGGCAATTTTGAATGGAGGTTAAATGAATGAAAGGTGCACTTTTGTACTGTATTTTGTAACGTTACTCTATATTTTGTTACTAAAATACTTCAAACATATAAGATTAAAAGAAAGATTATAATTTAAAGTTATATAGTACAAAAATATGTATGTGGGGTTAGGCTAATGTTCTGGTGGGCCTAATCAAACAGTCCAAGTTTGGCCTGAGGGCCTTACTTTGGGCCGTGCTGATCTATGCTGTAAATTCTCTTCCTGACGTGGCATCTAAATTATGTTTGGCTGTACGCTTTGACAAGGCTAAACTAAAACCATAAACTTCCTGAGCTCTTTGAATTTAGTTTTGGACCTCTGGCGCTGGACTGGAATCTTGGACAGATCCAGCTGTTTACAAAAATATTCCAATAGCTGAACCTACGCCTACAAATGAGTCAAGGTCGCTAGAGTAGTGATTACATTTTTCCCACTAGAGAACTGCATACAGCAAACAAACAGCAGTGTTCCGCTTACTACGGCATCCCAAGAATGAAACAAATCCAGCACAAGAAATGTGCCAAAACATAACAAATCACAGTGGAGCACTACAACTAACCTTCATCAGCCAGAATGTAGGATTCTGGGGTTCTCTCTGGTAGAGGAGGAGGACAGTCTCTATCAGATGATGGTGAAGTCATACCTGACCACAAACACAACAACATTTTTAGCACAGTAATTTTTAGCCTTCTTCTCCTTAACTGCACTCCTAAAAATAAAGATCCTAACTGGTTCTTAGCAAAGGTGAAGGGTTCTTTAAAAATATAATTAGTATAGAAGCTTATGTTTAGGTTCTATAATCTCTTACTCAAATATATCAATATACTTCAGGGACCTAAAAGCGGTTCTTCCATGTCAGCGAACATTTACGGCACTTTAATTTTTAAAGAACTTGGCTAGTACAGTTTCATTGGGTAGACCTTCACAACAAAATTTTAATAAAACAAGCATAAAACTAACTGCTTTAGCGTTATACTTTACACCAGTGGTTCTCAAGCTGGTCCTCTGGGACGCCCAGCTGGTCTATTCCAATATTTTGCGAGTTGGGTTTGAGCAAAAACATGGACCGTCTGGAGTGTCCCTGAGGACTGGTTTGAAAACCAACACTTTACATTGGTTCATGTAAAATCATTCTGTAAAAAACCTCTGAAATAGGTAAACAGAAATAGCATGTATGACTGCATTCTTACCTGTATTTTCCTCCAGTGCTGGTGGTTCAAGAGGCTGGTCATTAAGAGTCAAAACAGGGCCACTGAAACAGGGATTTTGAGACCACTTTTGAGACTTATCCACGGCTGTTATGTCATCCGATGAAGAACAGAAACTGTCCACGGATACTGGAGAGTCTGGGCCGAAATATGGATCCTCCACAGTAAGACAGAGGGATTTTATCTCAGGAGGCTGGAGTTGACCTATGGCAGGAGAAACATTGCTCATCCTTGCCTGCTCCGGAGAGCTCTGGCTTAGGTTTGGTTGCTGTATGGGTGGTGGTTGGTGTGGTGCTACAGCATTGCTCATCACTGTTAGTTCCAGAAGCCCCTGGCTTGGCACAGGTTTCTGTACTGGTGGTGGTTGCTGTGGTGCTACAGTACTGGTCATCACTGTTTGCTCCAGAGACCTCTGGCTTGGGTTTGGCTGCTGTATGGGTGGTGGTTGGTGTGGTGCTACAGCATTGCTTGTCACTGTTTGCTCCAGAGGCTTCTGGCTTGGCATGGGTTTCTGTACTGGTGGTGATTGCTGTGGTGCTACAGCACTGGTCATCACTGTTTGCTCCAGAGACCTCTGGGCTGGGTTAGGCTGCTGTATGGGTGGTGGTTGGTGTGGTGCTACAGAATTGTTCATCACTGTTTGCTCCAGAAGCCTCTGGCTTGGCACTGGTTTTTGTATTGGTGGTTGTTGGTGTGGTGCTGCAGAATGGGAGACATTGTTCAAAACTGGCTGGTCCAAAGGTCTCTGACTAAGGCTCGACTCCTTTGGCCGTGGTGGTTTGATGGGAACACTGGCACTCATAGCATCAGCTCGGTGCCTCATTACAGGTTCAGGTATTTCGGACACATAGTGTCCAAAATCTGTTTGCCGCATTGAAGTTGAGTTGGTGGACACTGGGGCTGTTGTAGACACAGCCCAGCCCGCCACTGCATTAGGGGTGAGGACCTGTGGGCTAAGTGGAGGTGAATAGGACAGCTGCTGTGAGATGACATTTGGCACGACATGGTTGGACAGATCCTGTATGCGATACCTGTGAAGAAGACAGAACCAACCAGACTACATCACTGCATTCTAAGTTCGTCAGTGAGAGAGCTGCTATAAGTGGATGTTTGTTCTATGTTTACCATAGTGCTAATTTTTAGAGCATTTTATGGGATTCACTATATAATGTTAGCACAGAGCTAACTAAGGTGTACTTTCACTTCTCCAGACTGGATTTAATATATTCACTAATATCTTCCTAAAACTTTTCTTAAATTTGTGCTAGAGAAAATTCTCTACGAAGAACTCTATGTCAGATTCATGACATGTTCTTAAATCCCAGAACTGTTTGCACCTTTGTGCTCTGAAAGAAAACATTGGTGAATCTTTGTGAAAACCGTTTTAGTGGATTTAAGAAGAAATTTCTTCTTAAGAATTGTTGGTGAATGAGGCCCATTGTTATAGTTAAACTAAACGACATTCTTTGATGGATTATGCTCAATATGTTTTCAGACATTTTACTTTATATACATGCAGTTTGTGACAGCAAAACTTGTAAGTTACATGCATTCATGCATTTACTGCAGTTCTAGTCTGCATTGCTCTGCCCAACTCTTTAAAAAGTACAAGATAACTCAATCAATCAATCAATCAATCAGTCATTTTATATCAATATCAATCAATCATTTATAATATTTATTTATTTATTTATTTATTTATTTATTTATTTAACAAACTACACATGCCTTTTTTAGCTACCTAAAGTAACATATGGACAATAATATTAGCTTGGATGTACATGTATTCAAATAGCAACCCTCATTCCTGTGAAATTATAAATCAGATAGCCTGCATAAGGTTATATAATAACCCTATGCAACCCTATGCAATCATTTTTTTCACAGGAATTAGCGTAAAACTTTTACATTTACATATGAAATGTCTTGCGACAGCCTATAATTTGGATTTTGTTCCAGAAAACACAGGAGACATCAGCATTTTCAGCACTAGCATCTGCATAGGATGTAAGACTACCATACCTGGGCTCAGAGCCTAGCTGCAGGCTGTAGTACATTGCACCAAGCTTTGGTTCCGGGTCCAGACAGGTCTCTATCACTGGCTCCGGGTCTGACAGGTCACTATCACTGTCTTCAGGGATGGGTGATGGTGCTGACGGAACCTGATAGGTATTAAGATATACTGTTGAATGAATCAATGACTCAGGAATGACTGCGGCTTCAAAAACTGCAGAAACATATATTCAAACGGCACATGTGGTCCTAGGTTGACATGATGATTTGCCAGTCCCTGATAAGGAATTAATGGGGGTTTGTCTCCTTCACAAAATGAATAGACTAATTAATTAATTAATTTGTGCAAGAATTAGGTTATAGTAAATATTTGGGTTTTTGTATGTGTCCCATTTTTTAGATAAATAAATAAACAATAAAACAACTTAATTAAAGTAAATTAAATTGATACAAATAAATTACTATGTGTACATAAGTGGAGTGTGCCTAATTTTTTCTGAAGCGTAGTTATCGGTGAAGTCTTGCCAATATCATGGTTAACTTAAGGGACAGCAGGGCTGGTTGGAAACCACTTATTGTAATTATTGCATTCATGACTAAATAAATCAAATAAAAAAAAAAAACAGAGTTGGTTGGCACTTTATGGGAATGACTGACACAACGTTACGATTCTTTAATTTGAAAGAATAAAGCAACAAACATGAATAATCTGACCTTTTAATTTCAGACAAACCACACCTCTAAACATTAAGTGGTGAGTACATAACATATCTAACTCAATTCAGTGTTAGGAATGTTTAATTTATTTTTCCTTGTCTTGTATTCAATAGAATGGCTTCGAAGTAAAAACAGCTTGTTACAATTTTAATGTACAACCCCATTTCCCAAAAAGTTGGGATGCTGTGCAAAATGTAAATAAAAATAGGACGCAATGATATGCAGATCATGTAAAGCATATTTTTAAAGGAAAATACCACAAAGACAACATATCAAATATTGAAACTGAGAAATTGTATTGTTTTTTGAAAAATAGCAATTTCAAAATGGACAAATGTTTTTCAAAAAACGATAAAATTTCTAATAAAATTTCTCAGTTTCAACATTTGATATGTTGTCTTTGTTCTATTTTCAATGAAATATAGGGTTTAAATGATCTGCAAATCATTGCATTTTGTTTTTATTTACATTTCGCACAGCGTCCCAACTTTTTTGTAAATGTGGTTCTAAATTTAATATAAACAGTGACATAGTAAATTACTGCATTCTACTTGTGTTACTTAGTATGCTATTTAGTATATATGCAGCATATAATACAAAATATGTGACAATAGCCTAACATTTGGGCAGGCTGACATGTGTTAACCAACCCCACCCACATTAGGCCAAAACTCTGTGTTTACTTTGTGTGTCTAGCAGGCATTACCTGTCATTTCAAATCATATGTAGAATGCAGCAGCCTGCCATTTCTACTAACTAAAACTAAAAGATTTTGAATATATATTTTTGAAATTGTTTCAATAATTTAGCTCCCTGTACTGACACTATGCCAACCAACCCCTGTGCCAACCAGCCCCACTTTTCCCTAAACAATATTTATAAAAAAAATTACATACCTGCAGGGACCCTGTAGCTTGGGGGCCCGAAGCGACTGCATCTACCATTTATAACATGAAACAGCCCTGCATCTGGCTGCAGTAAGTGTCTCTACTCTTCTGCAAAGCTTTTTCACTAGATGTTAGAATGCTGCTGCTAGGAGTTTATTCCCTTTAGCCACAAGTGCATTACTAAGGTCAGCACTGATGTTGGCCAATGAGGTCTGTTCAGCACACACTAATCTAAAATGTGTTCAGTAGTAGTTGGTAACTTCAGAGAATGGGTTCCCTCCATTTAACAGCCCAATAACAGAGTATTACACCACTCTAGCCAACACCTTGGTAATATGGTGACTTTGGTATTGTGTGCATCTGGTCAAGAGAATGCCATTAAGCTGCTGATGCATTTCTATGTGGATTATACAGTTATGTTCAATTTAACACCTGTCAGCAATTCGCAATCTCTAATGTGAAGGGATGTATAGGACAATTATATAGGATATGAAGTACAATTAAAGGAATGGTTTGATCCCTTTTGTAGTCAATCAGCCAATGCAATTTTGGTGTCTAAATTAAGCTTCTTTAGTTTTAAACTGGAGCTGCGAGGCTAACGTAGCTAACAAACACTACCTAATGTTCAGCTACACGGTGAAGTTTTGTTAATTTTTATGGCTTGCGGCAATTTATACTGTGTCCTAAACCACACTGACAAGTCTGGCCAACCTTAATGAAGGCCTGGATGTTATTTTAGTGCAGTGAGAGACATTCTGGGCAAGTATTTATGAAAAAGCTTTTTGACACTACACTTGTCTTGGCTGCAGTACATCTTGATTAAGCAAATTTTACATTTCACTAAACCATCCAAGTGTCTGCTTTTACCACAAACAGCTCAATTCCATTCTTTTCATCTCACCTTATCTTGGTTTGTGTTTGGCTCCATCATCTGCAGATACTTCTCAAACAGGAATTTAACTGCTCTGTACACCAGTTCATACTGCTCCTATAAGAGGAACAATGAAAGACTATTTAAAAAAGAAAAAGGAAATGCAACTGTGAACGTTCACAATCTACTGCCTTTTTGTGTAAAGTATCTAAAGGTATTTATAGAATGACAGACTGAGGAGGAACGGCGTGTAGTGTTACCTTAGTTTGAACTACAGAAGGCCTCTGTGTCCTCATTTCTTGAACCATGTTGAAGATGCTGAAGTTCTCCGGTATTATCTAAACATAAATCAACAACCCATGGCATTTAAATCCCTCAACACCACATCTAGACATCCGGTAATGAGCAAAAATCAGAGATTACCCTTTGTTTAATCAAATTCCAGCTACAATGGCCATTTTGCACAAGCTTTTTTTTCATGTCAGGAAAGCATTACACAGAAGCTTAAACAACTAAATATATTAATTTTTGCAGTATGTCCAGCCATTGCTTTTAATACATCTTCTTTTTAGGAATTCAAAGAAATCTGCAGGGATATTTTTCACACCTCCAAAGTTTTAGAAGTAGGTTGCATTTACTGCTTCTCACCATCCAAGTAATCCCTAACACATTCAATGATGAGGTGGTGAGCTAGGCTCTGAGGTGGTTAGTCCACTGTTATGAGACTGCCAGCAGCTCATTTCTGTCTATTTCCTTTTCTCAGTAAAGGTTTTTTGGCAGCTACACTTCCTTTTAGCCCAATAGAGTTGACTTCTTACAGTGGAAGGATGAACAGAAACATCATTTTTCAGATCTGAAGCAAGAGTGGAGATGGATTTTCTCCTCTTTCTCAAAGATGAAAGCTTTGTAGTACTGTTTATCTGATAGGGGCAGTTTTGGTGGCCTACTGGGTCTTGCACAGTTGTTAGGAGTCCTATTTTCTCCTAATAACCCTTAACTATGCAAATGGATTATTTTATATCTAATCTCCTCAGAAATATTTCAAAATCAACAACTTTTATGGCAATTCTGGCTGAAAAGATAATAAATGAAATGTGTTTTCTGCCATTTGCACAATACTGTGGCCAAAACTTTATCACTTCCAGTGAGAAATCTTCATCTATATCTTTGCCAGTTATCACATGTATGTAAATATATGCAACGACCACATATTTGGTGGACAGTGAAATGGTGACAGTCTGTGTCTTCCAGGGGCTGCTCTTACTTGTCTTTTCAATAGGTTCCAAGTGTAGTCAATGGCACAGAGGGCTCCTGTCCTTCCACAGCCGGCACTGCAAATCCCCAAAGAGGCAAGAAGAGATAAAGAACACAGTCAAAACATACTGCAGTCTCTTAGCATTAGTGCACACATGACTGATAAGCTGTTCTTCTGAAGAGAGATATCATGACAATCTCATGTCAACTTGTTCCTGAATCAGCAGAAATCAGCAGAATGGTGAGAGACGCTGACAGAAGGCGTGACCATTCAAAAATGCTGACTTCCCTGCAGAAACTGAGCAACATAGGGACACCTAGGACCCATTGCTCAAAGGGATCACCTGCTACACAACCAGGCTACTACCACCTCTGTATGGCACTGCAGTTAGTATAGACAAAAAATTGCAGAAAAGCAAGCCTGTTTTACTTGCATCATCTGACATGTTAGTGACATAATGGAATGAAAATTAGATTTTTTTAATTTTGTAAAAGCCTCATAAGACTTCTATATCTTTTTTCTTATCTTGTTACCTAGTCTCTGGATCAGATGTAAGAGTGTGTGCCGTATTTTTTGGTAGTTCCTTTCTGCACTTGTCAGCAATGCAGTGTCATTGCATAAACTGTGACCAAAGCTTTGCCTTCTTCCTTCTAGACAGCCGGGGCTGTGTCAGGTGACTTAGGTTCCACTAGTTCATAAAGGAACCTTGTGGATAGTGTCTGTTTTGGCATGTTACTATGACAATCCTAAGCAGCCTCCATTGTTGGCAAAACAACCACAACCATGTATGCTCAAGGTAATATTAGACTTTGGCATCTATGAGTAATTTAACATCTTTTTCATTAGATGTCTTTAGATGTTTTTAGTCCTTGTTAAGCTAGTGGGAAAAAGAAGAAAATAAAACTGGAAATTAGGCCCAATCATAGAAGTAATTTAGCAGTGTTGCTCAATTCCCTTTATAAAGCCTTGTCAGACTGAGAGATTTACACCTGGTAGATTTCCTGCAGAACACTGGGTACTGCACAGATACATTTTTGTCCCTAATGTACAAAAAATATAAATGTACCCTCTTTAAGGTCAAATTGTACACCTTAAATGAGTTTTAAAGGTGCACTACATTCACTTTTCCACGGTAAAGGTGCATTTGTGCACCCTTTGATACCTTTTTTGAATATAAAATAAAGAAACTCCAAGTTACTACAGGTTGTCTAGGGTCAATGCAACCTACAAGGCAACCTGCAATGTAATTGCAACAGAATATGGTACAATTACATTTGCTAAATAAAGGTACTTACATCATATCCCTAAGAGCACCACCCAAGTGACAGCAGCTACACTCTGACAGCAACTGGAAAGTTACAGTTTAATACCTTTATTTCTGAGACTATGCAAAATTAACTTTGTCCAATAACAGTGCATAATGACATTTACACATTACAACCTGCTTTTAAGTATCTGAAGCAGGTTTGACTCCTGCTTATGTTCCGAAGCATTGCACCTGAGGTTTGATTCCTGCTACTGTTTTGAAGTCTTTTACCACAGCATACACTCCTGCTAATGTACTGAAGCATTTTACCTTAGCATAGACTTCTGCTAAAGTACTGAAGCATTTTACCTTAGTGTACATTCCTGCTAATGTTCTGAAGCATTTTACCTTAGCATAGACATCTGCTAATGTACTGAAGCATTTTACCTTAGCAAAGACATCTGCTAATGTACTGAAGCATTTTACCTTAGTGTACATTCCTGCTAATGTTCTGAAGCATTTTACCTTAGCATAGACTTCTGCTAATGTACTGAAGCATTTTACCTTAGTGTACATTCCTGCTAATGTTCTGAAGCATTTTTAGGAGACTCCTGCAACTACTCTGAAGCACTGTACCCCAGGTCCGACCCCATGTTTTGAAGTGAATTAGCTCAGCATAGACTCCTGATAATACTTTGAAGCACTGTACCTTAGGTTAGACTCCTGCTAATGTTCTAGAACTAAGATTAGATTTCTGCTATTGTTTTGAAGCATTGTACCCCAGATTAGACTTTTACATAGCATAAACTCTTGCTAATGTTCTGAAGTTTTGCATCTAAGGTTAGAGTCCTGCAAAGTTCTGAAATATCGTACCCCTGGTTAGACACTTGCTAATGTTCTGAAACATTTTACCCTAGGATACATTCCTGCTAATATTGTAAACCTTTGCACTCAAGGTAAGACTCTTACAATGTTCTGAAATATTGTACCCCAGGTTAGACAGCTGCTAATGTTCTAAAGCATTTTACCTCAGCATAGAGCTGCTAATGTTCTGAAGTATTTTACCTCTGCATAGCCTCCTGCTAATGTTCTGAAGTATCTTACCTTAGCATAGCATCCCGCTAATGTTCTGAAGTATTTTACCTCAGCATAGAGCTGCTAATGTTCTGAAGTATTTTACCTCAGCATAGAGCTGCTAATGTTCTGAAGTATTTTACCTCAGCATAGAGCTGCTAATGTTCTGAAGCATTTTACCTCAGCATAGAGCTGCTAATGTTCTGAAGCATTTTACCTCAGCATAGAGCTGCTAATGTTCTGGAGTATTTTACCTCAGCATAGAGCTGCTAATGTTCTGAAGTATTTTACCTCAGCATAGAGTCTTGCTAATGCATTTCACATGAGGTTAGATTCTTGCTACTGTTTGAAAACAATTCTGCTTCTGCTCAAAACACTGGGCTTTGTTAACACAGCCCTGTGTTTAAAGTGATTGTGTGCTGTTGGTCAACCACCTACACACACTTCCTGTGTAACTACGACATAGTGTTTGGGACCAAACCATAAAAGGGCAGACAGAGTGTCTGCTTCTTGTGTAACGTCCAAAAGGGGACATTTTATTCTCGATTACAGCCTCTGCCTCACTTGGGCCTGCTCTTTCAACATTCAGCAAGGGCTTGTGGGTTGCTTACCTGCAGTGGATGCAGATAGGTATATCATCATGTTCCTGGTGCATACGCATTTCCTGCAACAGCTCCAGGATGGATGGGATAGAGTCAGGCACGCCGTGGTCAGGCCAGTTCATGTAGTGCAGCTGCCTCAGGGTCCGAGATGACTGGAAGAACAACAGGATTACATGTAACATTTAATCATGTAACAAAAGACAGTTATGGTGCTAATCTTGAGAAAAGGTTAGGTTGTGGATTTCTGTACAGCAGTTGTTCCCAAGCTTGGTCCTGGAGTACTGCAGATTTTAAAGTTCTCCCAGCTCTAAAACAACCTTTTTCATACAATGGTAATCCATGGAAATTAATCCATGGAAAGGTTTTTAGCAATTTAGTTTAAATGAAAGTTTTCTTTTCTACACCAGAGACCACATGAGGACAAGAGCAAAGCAGAGAAAAGAGAGAAAAGGCAGGGGACAGAAGGAGAAACAGTGAGAAAGTCAGGTCGCAACTTACAGTCATATGCAAAAGTTAGGGCGACCTAGTCAAATGACGTTTTGTTGATTTTCTACAAAATAACTACACATTCTCTACAGAGAACATACTTTTTTCACATTTGAATGCACAATTATTATTCATTTGTTGAAATTGGCATATTAGGGAAAAAAGTCATAAAACAAAAAATGTGGCATGTGTAAAAGTTATGGCACAAATGTTATGTTTTGGGTTTTGGGCATTCACTTATATGAGTTTTTTAATCAAATAAATAGAAATTGTGCACTAAAAGTTTGAAGAAAAAGGCCATATTTAAGTTTCCAGTCGAGGATGTGTTAGCAACGGGATCGTATAAACCCTAGAAAGAATGAAGCCATATAAAAAAAACACGTAACCATATAAAGAACACATAACAAGATGTTATTGTTCTTCACACTCAAATATAATGCCTTAAGATTCAAAGTTTCACTTCAAATAAGGAAGTGTTAATTAGCTGATTTATTGGATCAGAGTAGTAATAGCAGCAAAATGTGCAGGTTCTTCAGGGATTGGGTACCACTGCCATACAGTATATTTATTTCATGCAATGCACTGAGTTTCAATGACACAACTGTAAGTGACTTACTTTTTGTTCATATTTTGGGCCTCAATGTCATTTCAGTGTAAGACATTGTACAACTAGATTTTAAATACAAGGCAATATATTTCTCTGAAACATCATGGCTTACACATCAAACCCTTTACTCACTTTATTAAAGGTCACCCTCAGGATCCTTGTCACATAGTCTCCCTTATTCTCTTCTGATTCCTGCATAAGAGTCAACCAAAGCATTTGAGAACATCTTATCACTTTAGAACGTCACCACTCAACCTGATCCAGCATCATGCTCATCACTTTGTTGCTATATTCAACACGGACTTAGATTTCAGTCAACAAAACATAGATTTTCCTCATTCTTTAGTTTTTAAGAGAAGCTGGTGAGAAGCTTTGATGAAAGTTGTATTGAAATAAAACCAGGCAGTATTCAGAGGGGTAGTGTTCCATGCAGTTCATTTTAAAAGGACAGGAAGTGTGGTGTGAGCAAAGGAGGAAGTGTCACTTACACAGCGTACAGTGAATGGTTCACACACAAATGCATCCACCTTAGTCTCAGGCCAGTAGCGCTCACACTTTTTCTGCAAAAGAAACCTCATATTCAGACTGACAACAGTTAGATAAGACATGCTGTCGAAAATGTTTAGGTATAGGCCTTGGTTTTAGACATATATTGGTAAACCCTTCATATTTTCATGTGTATATACACACTCATACGCCACCAGTCATCTGACATGTTTTGTTGTTTTTTCTGACAGCAAATTAGTTACCACATCCTCTACAGAGAACTTTTACGGAAAATTTTAGAGCACAATTTCTATTTATTTGCTGAGTTTCACATCCTGGAAAATAAATAAAAACATTAAATATGAAAAGTGCCTTTTGTACAGGCAACATTTTATGTTATTTAACATGTTAACATGAATTAAAATAAGTAAACAGTGATTGTGCTTTAAAATGTGCAGAAGTATGCTGCTCTGTAGAGGATGTATACTTATTTTTACTTTAAAAATTGACAAAACACAACAAATATTTGCATACGACTGTATATCAACAATAACAATCACATTATCTATAGTAACTACTCCTTTCCCACCCAGCCAAAAGTGGATCCAGAAGTATGTGTTTGATTAATCTGAAATAAATAACTTGCTTGGCTTCTCCCACACAGCCACACAGCAAGTTGGACAGGTTTGGTTTGCGAATTTAATCCAGACACCCAAATATCAGTCATAATTGTCATGCCTATTTCAAATCCTTGCTTAACAGGAAACAAAAAAAAATTGATCACAAAAAAGCATATTACAAGCGAAATAAATGATTAAAATATACATATTAATCCCTTAAAATCCCAGGCTTATAACAGACTAAGGCTTATTACTCAGTAACTATGGGGACTGGTTCATCTATTATATTATATTATTACACATTAGTTATTGTAGAAGTGTGTATTAAAATTTTGGGGCCCTGGCCATTTAAGGGGTTAAAGTATTAGCCATCAAAGTGCCCCAATTTCAAGATGGGTTAATTCGTCAGCTTAAACAGTGTAAGGGATTCTGTCAGTGTTAGTGTAAGGGATATTTAAAGCTTTTTAGAACAACATCCAAGTAGATTATATGGTTGTATGATATGTAAAAGACTGGGCAGCCTTGGCTAAATTACAAAAGTTGTTTTAATTTTGTAGTGAAAAGAACTAAACACAGTATCTGTTGATTAACTTATTGTCTTAATTATCTTGATTAACTTACAACATAATAAAAATAAAATAGTAATTGTGGCATGTACAAAAGTTTGGACACATTACTAATTTAGTACTTAGTAACACGCCCTTTGGCAGATATCACAGCGGTTTTTCTATTCCTGTTTTAGGAAAATTTACCCTCTAATCCCTGCAGAACGCTTTTGGTTCTGCAAAATACTTAGGCCAGTTCACATGCAGGTAGGATCTACCTTCTGATTGCTAAGTCAGGGAACTGTGAAAGCCTTTGTAAAAGCTTCAGCTTGTATATCTTGCCATAGATCATGGTCGATTCTGAGGTATGTTTTGGATTATTGTCTTGATGAACTCTTCTCAGCTTTCTTAACCAACTGTGTCACATTTGCTTCCAGAATGTGCTGATGTTTAGTCAAATCTCCAGAGTTTCCTGTTTTGTACAATGTTTTCTGTGCCACTGGCTGGCATACAACCCCAAATAATAGATCCACTCAGTTGGCAAGGTGTTTCTTTCATCAAATGCTGGTCCTTTTTTAATCCAAACATACCGTTGATGATTGTTAGCAAAGAGTTCCATTTTTATTTCATCATTTCACAGCCCTTGTTTACAAAATGGCTATATGCTTTGCATACTTCAGACTTTTGTGATGAGGTCACAGGTAATGTTTCCTTATGATGACTCTTCCATGCATATCATGTTTGTGCAAGCAACGCTGCACAGTAAAATGGTCCACTACCTCTTCTGTGTCAGCTAAACTTTCATTCAGGTCTTCTTTGCTGTCATATTAGCAGTTCTGAGAGTTAATCAGTCCTACCAGTCCTTTTTACTTAAACAGTTAACAAAATATGTAATTTGGCCAAACCATTGCATATTATTGTATGACATGAGGGTGAATCTCTCTCTACTTCATACAAATATCTAAAAGAATATTTTCAGCCTTACCCTTCCCATTTCAAACTCCCTGCAAGCCATTACAACGATCTATTGAAAAGAAGAGAAAGAAAAAGCAGAATGAAAGAAGTGTTCTCAAGCATGTTAGGTTAGGTTGTGGTTGAAATGCATAAACAAGTTCTTTATAGATAACCACTTTACACTTCTGAAGAGGTGCAGAGATGCTGTCAGATTTTTTCCCCATAATGTGCAATTGGGTCCTATCCTGCAAGTGTTGCAAGTCAAATAATAGCTGAGTGCTTACCTGCACATTGTACTCCCAAAGCATCCTCCAGAAGTCCAAGACAGTGTTTGGCAGTGGTCCCTGTGTTGCGATGTAGGCCCTTGGCCCAAAAACGCCCTACAGTATGAAAGAAAAATGACATAAGCCATTCCAGTAATTCATAATTGGAGCAGTGAGAGAGTTAGAGTAGTGTTGAAGACTTTCAAAAGCATTGTTTTAGTACATTTCTGAGTTTTTTGTACTCAACTACTAACAGATGGCACAATAGCTGCCAGACAGCATCCACACATTGTCACTATCATAACAAAACCTCTGTTTAGTTGAGATTTTATTTCTTTATTAATTACAGGATATGAGAATGCTAGCTGCCCTTTACATTTCATGACAAATAGATAAATAGAATGATCCAGAATTGCTTGGAATGAAAGATGCAACCTTTGTTTTCTCAGTAGCCATAAAATGCAATTTTATGGCTTTTGGGGGTCTTTCAGTTGAACAGTGAGTTGAACTTCTTCAATATAATATTTTTTGATCAAAATGTATATGATTTAGAAAACCCTGGCCATGAGGGATAGGGATGCAGTCTCCCTTCCCACTCTAAAATGCAGGGGTGTGGCTAGAATAAGCCTCTGTCTGTGAACTCTGTGTGTTTCAGTAGTGACATGAAAACAGCTTTTAAATTTTTTTTTATTTAAACTCATAATAAATATTAACATTCCAACTTCACTTTAATAGAAATCTAAAATATATTTTTAAAAGTGTAAAAAAAAAAGTTGAAATTTAGGGGTTGGGGTTTGGGACAGACACCGCCTAATAGAAGGCAACCTACAAAAGACGACTTTGTGTATATTTAGCTTATTAGTAACTCACAATGCCTTTCAGTTTAAATAGATCATAACATAATCCTAAACATGTAAGGTCTGAATGCATAATTGTCTTTTTAAGTAGTTCTTTTACTGTGGAACTGCAGTTTAACTAATTCAGTAGAATGGGCCATATACAGGTACATACAGTACTGTGCAAAATGATAAATAAAACAGAACATGGTTTTATTTTTAAAGAAGTTTTCTAATATCTTGGTTAGGAGAATACAGTTAAAAGAAGTTTAGTTCCTGACTTTTTGGTAAACTGTATGGATTTGTTAAATTCTATCAGCAGCACCTGATTTAATTTAAAGAAAGATTAATCATCTGAACGGGTATTGGATGGTAATTGTAAACGTGGGGCTTCCTTGAGGAGAGGTGTGGAAATGGTTGAGCTAACCCATTCACAAACATCAAATCCCCTTTTGACAATGGTTCTATATAGTACCAAAAATAGTTCTGCTATTGTTACAATGTCAAACTTAACAATAATTAATAACGTAACAATAAAAGAACCCTTGTTGGTGCTGTATAGAACTGCACATAACACATTCTCCATCAGTCTGAAGAACCATTGTCTTTACTCAATAAACCTAGAACCCTTTTTTTTTAATTTATACCAGAGCTTAAAAGAGAACAAAAGGGTACTTTAGTGGTAGGATCACTCAATTACTGCAATGCAGTGTACCTTAATGAAGTTTGCATTGATGTAATCGGTGTCATTTTTGGATGTGCTTAGAGAGAGCTTCACTCTGGTGTGGTCAACTGTGGAAAAACACAATCATCAGTGATGCCTCGTCGACATACAGAGTGCGCACAGCCAGATTTGACAGCAGTGACCATCAATCAGCAAGTGTGAACAGAAGCATTTCAATGGTTTCACTCACATGGAACGATGTCCTTGTATCTGTTCTTCTTCACGTTGTCCTGCTTCTCGGCAGCCTTGGTGGGGTAGGTCTTGTCTGTTCGGTATTTGGTGGACTGCCTCTTTAGTTTCTGAAGGAGCAAAAGGGTCATTGTCAGTATAAGAAACTGGTCAAGTTTCATAAGAATATTGCCAAATAATGTATTTCTGAAATATTGTTCTGATTTTGTAAACCTCTATGAATATCTCAGCATAATGGCATTTGCTTTAAAAGTGTTGTACATATTTGGTACCATTTTTCTTTGATTGAATGTAGGGGACTCTGACCCACGAGGTCTGCCTGAACATCTTTAGTAAGAATGATTAGTGATAATAAGACATTAGAAGGCCCTCCATATTTTTTACAGCCATATGCATTATGATTCCAAGTTAAGTCTTTTCAACATTCAATAATTTTTATCATAATATCGAAAATTTTGTGTTTCCCTGAAATGCTGTCCACTGTGTCATGATTGGGTTACCTTACCTGAAGGTCAATCATGTGTTCATAATATGCTAAATGTAAGCAAAAATGTCCACCCTGGCCAACAATTATCTCAGTACACTTACAGATACATATCTGTCAATGTATTGAGATAATTTCACTTAATACAATGACTTGAAAATGTCTAGAAAGTTAAAAAAAAATCATATAATATTAATATTAATATAATATTAAGTAATAGCTCATGTATATCTAATTTGCATTTTTATAGGGCTCTTGGCTCAGGGGGTACATCCATCTGTTATGCATTTGTAACATGATGGGTGGTCTTATTTTGGGAAAATTCAAGTCAAGTCATCTTGATTGTTATTCCTCAAGTGGTTTTGATTGTCATTCCTCATGTTCACTTCCTGCATGGTCCATATACAGAAACCAACTGCAAAAACGGTCCATTTTGAATTCATCGTTTTGACCTGCTTATTTACATATGTGTGCCTATTCACCCTACAGCAGTTTAGCCTCACCCATTTACACAAGTGTCAGACAGGCCTGACTTTATGGCTGAATTATGTTTCTGATACATAAAACTACACAAATGTCCATAAAATGAGTGTAGAAATGGTATGTTGTGTGGTTGGTATAGGTTAGTGGATACCACATCTGCCTTCTACGCTGTAGGCTGGGATTCAATCCCCCCGCTTGAGTAAGCACCCTACACTATACCAATAAGAGTCCTTGGGCAAGACTCCTAACATTAACAGTGCCTACCTGTGTAAAATGATCAAATTGTAAGTTGCTCTGGATAAGAACGTCTGCCAAATGTAGAAGAAAAATATATTGGCCCTTTAAAGTTTATTTTTAAACTGTGTTATAATCTGCCACTTTCATAGTCGAAATGAGACAACAGTAAGCCCACTATTTGAAAGGAAGCTGGGTTGAGGGTTTTTGTGTGTGTGTGTGTGTGTGTGTGTGTGTGTGTGTGTGAGACTCTGAAAGCAATCAGATTGCCTGTCCCATGAGACAGAGACCACCGTAATAGATAACTTTCCGACCACAGCTTGCTTGTATGCAAGGAGATCTTGTGAGTGCGTCTTTGAGCAATCAGCATGGAACATTACGTTCCTCCTACCTGCGCAGGGGACACGTCTTTTATTTGAAATGCTTTCATTTCTTTCCTGCTGCATAAGTAGCTCAGTATAGTAGGCCAAAGGCCAAAAACCTGCACGTTTTCATGGCAAAGTATTTTGAGAACTGGTTTAGTAAGTTTAGTTAGTTCTGCAGCAAGAGATCAGTGAAAGTGTGCCTTGTTTTTAGTTGAGTGCAACGTTTAAAGATAACTCATTCATCCTTCTACACTGTGAAAATGAGCATATTTGTGGATTTTAAGCGAAGCGTGAGCTGATGTCGCACAAATACTTTTTTTTCAGATTTTTCGGGGCTTTGAGAGCACAAAAAGTTTTTTTTTTTTTTAAATTCAAATTTACCTACTTTTATATGTGGTTCTAGACATGTACCATATGTGGTACATGGCCATGACCACAATAAGAACACTGCTATTGCACACACAAGTTTCAAATGATAAAGGGTTGGTTTAACCTAGGGCCTGGGTGATAAAATGATAATAATAATAATAATAATTCATAATAATTAATAATAATAATTAATAATTCATTATTGCGATATAACTTTCCTAGAAAAAATAAGAAATGTTCTATATACTATGCCATTCTCACACTTCCAAGTTCTAACGACAGCCCCGGGGGCATTTTGCACTGTAAGAAAAGCAGCACTACTCTGCTGTCGCTGTAAGAGGGCGAGTTTTTTGACATGATTCGAGGAGGGAGGGGATGGGGACTAAAATGGGTCACCGAATAGACGTAAACGTTTCAAACATGGGGTTATACCTTCCCTGTTTGAGTGGAGCGCTCGACGATTGGTTCTTCTGTGACCAAGTGTGAGTGACAAGATAAGTGGCGTAACTGTACAGGTCCAGAGCAAACTCACTTCTGTCCTAACATCCTAATAAGCTTTAACATCGTTAAATTATAAATTAATAGATAATTAATAATTATCTATTAATCTGCTCCACACAACTACAGCGCTGTATGTTACACTCATATTTTAGTATTAGTGCAAACCCAAGTAAAAATGGGTTCATGTTAGTTACAGCATTACAACGAAAGTAAACTGAAGATGCCGTATATGTGGCACTGGAGAGCGGGAGAACGCTAGCTTCCCAGGCTAGCTGTTTTTAGCAGCTGGCTAACTTGAAGCAGCACTCTGTCACTCACACTAGAACTGAATTTATGTTATTGTAGTGAACTACAGTGATCAAACTGGACAAAAAAGACGGACCTCAATGGCAATAACTGCATTGTGATTCTCTCACCCCAGACAAACAACATCCTCCTTTTAGGTGTGAAGTCGTTTGTTTGGTGTGAGAGAATCACACTGCAGTTGATGCCACTAAGGTCCGTCTTTTACACAGCGAGCGTCAGATATATTGCAGTTCTTCCACCCCCCCAAACTACTACTGTAGAGAAATTCAAATGTCTGAGACCATGAGGTAGTTATAATTTTCTGCATTGTTATCTTGAGATTTATTAGTAAATTATCTTGTAATCTCAAGATAAAAAAAAGTTGCTATCTTGAGATAACAAGTTAATTATCTTGTGATCTCAAAATAATAAAGTTGCTATCTTGAGATCACAAGATAATTAACTCGTTATTTCAAGATAACAATCCAGAAAATTATAACTACCTCATGGCCTCTCCAGACTTCCGCACATTGTTGAGTTTAGCACCTGTAATCACGGCCATGCTGTGCGTGTCAGAGTGCTGCTTTTACCAGCTTGTAAAAACAGCTAACCTGGGAAACTTGCTCCCACTATCTCATGACAGATTTGCAAAATGTTCCTCTGTTTGGCAAGCATTTATCATGTTCTGACCATAAAGAATAGTTTAAAACCACAATTAACTGTCTGGTTTCTTCAACAACAAAGCAAAAACCAGCCTTTGAACTTGAAAGAAATAATGATTTGACATTTATCGTGTTATTTGTTATGAACTGGTATGATTTTTTTTGGCCATATCACCCAGCCCTATATGAACCCCTTAAAGTCCCAGGCTTATTACATAGTAAGGTTTAATGTTCAGTAACTACAGGGACTTCAATGCAAACTGGCTGAGCTATTCTTAGATTACAGAAGTGTATATTAAAACTTTGGGCCTACTGGTGTCCCTGGCCATTTAAGGGGTTAAAAGGAGATTATAAAGATTTTTCAAAATCTCTGTATAATTAACCGTAAGAGTGTAAGCATAAGATATCCAGAGTGGTTTGATGTGAAATTCCTATTTTGACCAGAATTGTTCACAGTGGTGGTGATAGGAACCAGACGTCTACGGAGTTTAATGCCTCTGAAAGCTCCATCACACAAAGTTATTACATAAAATAGTTACAAATACATTGCCTGAGGCCTGAGACCGTGGTTTTCAATAGGTTTGCATCAAGGTTTTAGCGTAAAATGTATTTTAAAATCTATTTCTGCTGGAAAGACACAAAACAGTCCCCAAAGAAAACCTACTCTTTTGTATTACAATTTTTAAACCATTATCAACATTACATATACATTCACTTGTCATTTTGGATAATAAATCAAATGGCTATACTTGCATTGCTACCCCTGGTTCCTATCATTACCACTGTAAAGAAGTCAGTTTGTAAGTTTCTCTGCAATGAACAGTTTCACATCCAACCACTCAGAATGACTTTATTTACATATCAACCCTTGAATTCTCCAGAAATTTTGAAAGATCTGTGGATTCCTTTACTTTATCAAATGTAAGGTTAACATGCAAGAACGGTGGAACTGATGATGTACATATTGATTGGATGAGATGCCTTTACTTTGTACCTGATTTCTCATTGCAAAGCTGCATTGCTTATCACTACACCATCAGCCCAAATATGCAGGTTATAAACACAAGCTAAACACTTTGGCATGTTTTAACCACTTAATAAACATCCCTTAGAACCTCACTGCATGTGCATGTAAACATCACCTAAATGTTCATGTTTGCACCTACACAAATTTGTATTATCGAAACTTAAACACATCAACAATTTAACTGACTTCATCTCTTTGCAATATCTACAGTAAATATATAAAGATAAGGGATGTGGGAAGGTGATTTAAGTTGGGGGCACTGAAATTTAAACCAGCATTTACGTAACAGGAACGATGACGACATGCAAGATGATTTGCCTTTTTCCATTAGAATTTTTCTGATAATTTACATCAAACAGAATGTGACATACTGCACTATAAAGAGGCGAGTGACAACATATAACTGACACATCAGACAGCTGATGCACATCCTTTATTTGCTTTCGCATTCTGCATAAACTTTAAGCAAATGAACTGAGTTGTGACCAATCACATTTTTTTTTCTCTTTTTTTAATTTTTACCCGATTTTCTCTCCAATTTAGTCGTCTCCAATTCCACCCGCTAGTTAGGACTCCCCCAATCACACGATGCTATCAATGCTAAGAGGGTGAAGGCTAACACAGGCTTCCTCCGAGACCTGTGAACCGCCAACTGCCAGATCTGTTATGTCAGCTAACAGATGCCTGCGCTGACTAGCATCGCGCTGAGTGATGGGGGGAGAAGGAGGGGCCACAATTAATGCGCAATTACTGTTTATTTGCTGAAAGTAACATATGGAGGGGGTAAATCATAAAATGAGTCTTTTGCAAATGTTTTGGCACTTTTAATATTTAATGTTTTTTTTTCCAAATACATTGTACTGAGCAAATAAATAGAAATTGTGCACTATAATTGGCAAAAAGCCATAATTAAGGATGTAGAGGGTGTGTTAACTCATGTTCACTTAGAAAATCAACAAAGCGTCATTTGGATGTGTTCAAATGTTTGCATACATATGAAAATATCAATTTTACAACCTCTCTGTATTCCTTAGAATTAAACAGGCCGTTGTTGTTGCTGTGCTTTTAAGACTGGTACAGCTCCAAAAGTTCCCTGTCAAATTACATGTTTTGTTGATTTGAAAATAAGTGAACACATCAAGAGAACAAAATATAAGTACGGGATATTTCGGCAAATTTTAATGCACCATCATTACTTATTTGCTGAGATTAACGTATTGGAAAAAATATAAAAAATAAAAAGTGTCTGAAAATATAAAATGTGCTTTTGCACAGGCCACATTATGTTTTATTTTTTCCCCAATAGGTTACATTCAGCAAATAAACAGTAACTGTGCATTAAAACTTATTCTCTGTATAGGATGTGTTAACTTATTTTCACGTAGAAAATTAACTTAATTAATTAAATTTTGCATTCCACTGTAAATGTAAATGATCTCCGTTTTGACTGGCTGCCCTGTATTGTGCCTCATTTAAAAAGTATTGTGCTAGTTTTCATGACACATTGTTCACACATTGTTTTTATTCACAAAAGCAAAGAATTCAAAACAGGCTGTTTTTTGCTTAGCCTAGTCTCTATATATGGTCTGTTCAGACTGCATAGATCAGTACGGACTGGGAAGAGAATGGAATGTTGGAAACTTTTGGAAGGTTTTTACACACAAACCTTTTTAAAACTGATTTATTTTTAAAATGTGAGGAAAATTAAGTTTTCCATGGTATGAGCCTGTAACCCCTTAAAATCCCAGACTTATTACAGACTAAGCCTTTATTATTCAGTAACTGCACTGTTAGAAATAAAGGTATTGTGGAGATACATTTTTTGTTCGTCAAGGTACAAACAATGTAAATATGCCCTCAAAGATACAACAGTGGTTTTAAGGTCCAAATGTGCACCTTTTTCCCAGTGGAAAGTATGTATGTGTACCTTTTCATGACAGTTACTTTCACGTTTTAAAACAGAAAAATAAATGAACACATAACATATATATGATACATTAAAGCCTGGAGATGAGACGGGGTGTGTGGAGTCAATACAACTTAGAAAATATAATTTTGGTACAATTATGTTCCCTGAATAAAGGTACTGAGAAGTACCCTTGAGGGTTCCACCCCAGTGACAAGAGGGGTACCACCCCAGTGACAATTTCATACTTTTTGGGGTGAACAGGCACTTTAATGCAAACCGGTTGAACTATTCTTAGGTTATAGAAGTGTGTAATAAAACTTCGAACCTGCTTGCAGGCCCTGGCTATGTAAGGGGTTAATCCGTCTTCTCAGAGGTAGGTATACAATATGTATCTGTATACACTGTATACAAGCAACGCATGTGTATTGTGAACGTGAGCAAGGCACACTATAGCAACAGCTAAGCCTGATCAAGCTATTGTACCACGGCATGTTTTCGTCTGGTCAGCTTTTATGGCATATCACTCAAGAGTTTCTCAGATGTTTGCTTGTACACACATATACATGATACATTATTGCCTCTTTATTCCAGTAGAAGCAGAACACACACCAACACTGTCAACATGCTGTGGCTATCCGAAGATGCTGTTCACAGACGCTATGATATGTCCGCAGTCCCTGCAGTGGTACTGAGTGTTTTAACTGCCACAGTAATGTACGAACATACATTGAGTTTGTACAGAAGGGCTGTGCGCTTGTAATGCATTAGCTGGGCGTTGGAATTTGCATGAAGTGTGTTTCTGGCCTTAGTGACTGAGAGGGCTGAATGAGTCACTTAACACTCTTCGGCAGTTCTGCCTGGGCTAATGTTGTAGCGCTAACGGGCACATAGCCTTGGCCAGCAAGGCCTGGGAAAAAAGAGAGCTCTCTTCATGTGATAGAGGGTCCAGACAGCTGCCCCTGGCCAACAGGATGTCCTTCTGGCAAGGGCTCAGCTTGGGCTTCTTCTGAAGTAGCACTTGGCCCACTCCAGCCTGTGTTCAGATGGTGGCATGTGGCCTAAACCACAGAGCGCTTTTCATAGGTCAGGAAGTGATTTCAGCCCTCTTGGAGGTGTCAGTTCTCATGCTGGAAGCTGCAGCACTGACCCCACCTTCACTTCATTGGAGCTGAGAATCTAATGAGTTAACGAGTAATGCAAGCTTACACTGCACCACTTAACATTTTTCATATCATATCATATTCATATCAGTTCATATCAGAATAATCAGGATTATCTTGTTGCAAGAACAAAGAATAGACCTAATCCTAATAAATGCAGTGTAGCAAGTATCATATTATTCAGAGGATTTATGGAACCAATTATGATCATATTCAGCTTTATTGATCAATTATGATCATATTTAGCTTTATTATTGTTATTATTATTATCATCCAGAAACAGAACATATGCCTTCTACCTTCGTCTTTTCCCTCTGGTTTTTGCAGCTTGTCAAAGGGGCTGGCAACTCAAATGTAAATATCAAAACAATTTTCAGAAAAATGTGTGACTTGATGATCATTAACTACAACAAAAAACATTCAAATACAGCTACGACCTGTAAAAACTCCACTTTTCTGCCGGATCTGGACTGTGTGTGCATTTCAGGCCATGCAGTAATTGTAACCATGGCAACAGCTTTTTCAATTTTTTTTTCCTTTTTAAGCTTTTATTTTCTGGCAGAAGGAGGACTTTGAAATGATGTAACATATCATTATTATTGAGGCATACCATTCAACCAGGAATTACTATGGTAGCCGATGTGGTATAGGCGTTTGTGACCAACGCAAGTAAGACCAATCATGTGAACACCGTTAGCTTTTTCCAGAGTACAGAACTGTGAAACAGACGCAGCAAAACTAACCTGTGTATAAACACGGTTTGAAGACAGCAGTTAGTTTGCCAGGAAAGCTTTGGCCAAACATTAACTTAAAATGCAATTTTTGATGAACCTAGACTTTCAAAGTATTATTTTGATATAAGTATCAAACTACCTTGCTTTTATTAAGCAGACATTATAATGTACCTTTAATGCACATACATAAAAAGAATGATGCACCCTGCAGTCTTGTGTATTGTGAAATTTAAGATCATGTTACTGAGTGTTTTACGCTCTCCAGGGACAGTTTTAAGGGTTTGCGCAGCAGCATATTAAATACTGAGCTTATCAAAAAAGGCGCTATTCATGTTAAGACAAAAGGGGTAGGGGCTCGAGGGCCTCTGAGGCCCTCCTGTGTACACCAGTGTGTGTGCCTAAATCATTATCTGCCTGCCTAAAACTATGTTATCTCAAAATAGACTGATTGACTGATGATTTCTAACACTGTATGGCCTGTTATTATCTATAAACATGAAAGTACCAAAAGTACACGGCATCCTTACAGTTCGCAGTAGCAGCCCTCTTGTTGCAATTGCTTGAATTCTCTCCTGTTTATTTTTATAGATAACAGTATGTCATACAGTGTCAAAAACCACATAAGCAATTTCAGATCACTTAGTAATTCCATGTGGTTTGATGCAAGTATGTGATCATTTACGTACGCAATTTCTGCATCGCTATTTGTTTCCGTTTTCTTGTTAACTTGTAACTCCAGAACGAACAAAGCAAACTTCAGACATCAAACATTTACACAACAAAAGTTTGATTTTTGAATTTGATGTATATAAGCATGTATTTTACAGCGAAAAAGAGTGGAAAGACTTTTGACATTTCAAGTTACAAATCGTTATTTGTCCATAAGAACAGTCGATCTATGTAAAAAAATGGTTTAGTATAAAACTTTGTGTTATTAAATATACATTATTCATTCATTATACAAGATTTAAAAACTTGTTTGAACATTGTTTGAACATTGGTTTCCACATTCAGAGAACAACTCAAACCAGAAGCTGTAAAGCAGGCCTTAGTTCTCTTTTCGTCAGAGTTCTTACGTTGTGGTGAGAAGAGGAAGTCTATATTAAGACCCTTCAGCCACTCTAACTGCTTTCTGGCCAGCTACATTATAGACTCCATTTTGCTTTTGCTGAATTCTTTACCATTTGGGTCAGATTTACGAGGCCTCACGTCCTACTACAACGGTTTACTTGTCCACAGATATACAAACAGTGAATGTAAAAAGTTTAAGTCCTGCTGAACATACTGTCACATTGTTGAATACTTTTCAAAAGTTTGAGGACACCTTTGCCATAACATAACATACTAGAGACTAAACAGGGTTCTCTGGAGGAAAGCAATATCACATATTTGGTTTTTCTATGGTAAATATTTATGACAGTGCCATCTTTGACAAAATGCCAAAACCCACACATTTGTTGTGATGTCAACACTCGAACCTTTCAGGTTTTTTAATCCACCTTTAGGGCAAAATACTTTCAATGTGCCTTTTTAAAGAATAGTTTGGAAAAGAAAATTACCATTCAAACCATCTATCAGGCCAGACTTACGTTAATGGAATTTTTGAGGGTATTTTTTTGTTACGTAACTGAAATGTAACAGTGAGAAAGGTCACATTTCAAAACATCCCCAAACATCTGCTTTTTGCCTTTGTCATGGTGAAACCATATATAAATACATATATATATATATATATACATACATATATGTATATACATATATATATATATATATATATATATATATATATATATGCTCTTGCGTAAAGGAAGATGCTTTTAAAGGACAGATGGATGGACTCACCAAGAATTCAGCCTCAAAGCCACTGTCCTCATCCCCGTCCACTGCCTCCTTGCTGGCAAACTGAGCCAGAAAGCCCCTCAGAAGATGAGCTTGCTGGTTCATGGTTTATATGTCCCACCAGTGACCTCTGTCATGTCCCAGAGGATGGTGTTAAGGTAGGCTTGCTGCCTGGAGACAGTTCGCCTACCTGCCTACCTGCTTCTCTCTCTCTCTCTCTCTCTCTCTCTCTCTCTCTCTCTCTCTCTCTCTCTCTCTCTTACTCTCTCTTTTCCTCTCTCTCTCTCTTACTCTCTTTCTCTTTCTCTTTTGGATTTCCTTTCCCCTCAATTAGTTCTTTCCCCTTCTCCTCCTCCTGTCACTGTCTCGCACAGTCTTTTCTTCTTTTGTCGTAGCGCCTGTTGGCTGAGAACTGGCCTCAGGCTTGAGGAACTGAGCGCTTGAAGTGCTAGATGAGCTGTCATCACGGAAGCAGTGGTGGTGGCAGTCAACAGCTTCTGTGGTCAGATTAAAAATATCACTGTGGTCGTCATCTCTCTCTTTTGCTCTCTCAGTCACTTGTTCTTTTTCTTCTCTCTCGCTCTCACTTTGCTGTTATCTTTTTTCTTCTCTCTCTCTCTCTCTCTTTCTTTCTCTCTCTCTCGCTCTCTCTCTCTCTCTATTTCTCTCTGACGCTCTTTCTCTGTCCAACTTACAGTGTGTCACTGGGTCCTAGAGCCGCCCCCCTCTGCAGGAAACTTTCTGTGGGTGTGATTTTGCTGTTGGTGTCTCAGAGTTAGAGCGTAATGTAGAGAAAGAATGTTAGCACTCAGTTGCACCGCCTGTTGGGCAACTTCAGGGCTGGGGTGGGATCGTGGGGTGCCAAGCTTGAGTCTTGTCAGACCGGTGGATCTACAGTAAAAGTGTTACAGATTCCCTGTGATTAATGCCCTATCATCAGCTCATTCACTGGTTATTATTATTATAATTATTGTTATTGTTATGATTATTATTACTTAGTAACTACTGTGAGTTACTACTACTATAAACTCCTATCAAACTAATATGTAAGTTATGTAGTCCTACCATTTAGGAGTATTATTATTACTTATCACTATATTATGCTTATTTTTACTTAATTAAATCAGTTATTATTTAGTATTAAAATTAGTTAGTCATAACTATTATAAAACTAATACATACGTTACATAGTTCGTATGTAATATTATGATTATAATTATTTATATTATATAATTATTATAATTATAAATATTTTGAGACTAATATGCAGTGTATTATTATTTTATTGTTATTATTGCTATTTAGGAACTACACAAACAAGGTTAGTAATTACTTTTCTTATTACTTATTACTAAGTTACTACTATGAGTTACTACTATTATAAACTACTATGAAACTAATATATGTTATGTAGTTATTGAAATACTACCATTTACTCCTTTAAATAGTATTATTATCATAATTATTATTTTTCCTTAACAACTTATTTTTCAGTAATTACAATTTTAGTAATTATAGTTTTTCACACCTACTATAAAACTAATATGTAAATTACGTAGTTATTCATATGGCACCACTGACTTATTTAAACAATGTTAATATTATTATTGCTATTATTATTATTATTATTTTTACTATTGCAAATTTCTATTATACATTTTTCAGCAAATAATATGAACCTAACATGCAAGATATTATAGGATATAGTGTATAATTATAGCATAGTATTATAGTACTTTTATTACTTAGGAACTACCCTGGGTTTTCATTAGTAGTAGTAGTATTATTACTTATTTAGTAACTACTATAAATTATTTGTTAACTACTGTGAAAGTCAAATGCAAGGTATCATATTACTATTATTATTATTTAGGAACTGCATTTAAACTGGATTATTATGTATTAGGTACTACCACCTTCATACAGTTGTATTCTTTCATATGTGAATCATTAACCATTGATCACTGACCTGGTTTACCTCAACATACTGTACATCTCAAATTAATACACACTATAAAGCTGTAAATCACACAAGACAACATATTTATTATAGTTTATTTATTATTGTATTGCAACTATAGTTTGCACTTTAAATTCTACCTCTGCTTCTGACTTTACTGTGTTACTGTTCACGCATATATCTGTATACAATGCCTGTGCACATGTTGTCTTTGTGCTCTTGTCTGCTGTCTTTTTATCTATTTTTTAATCACTGCATGGAGACGTAGCCAGACAGTGTTTCATTAAACTGTACAACCCTGTATTGATATAATGACAATAACGTTTATATGAATTGAACTGAATTGCCTTAAACTGAATTGAATTAACACCTTGAACCCTGAGCTTATTTTTCAGTTATTAACCCATTAATGACCATATCTGACTTTTTAAGTGTCCTTTGCTCTTTTTGTTCTCTGAGCTTGCCGAGCAGGTTTTAAGTCAATCGAACTACATGGCTTAAAAGTGTTATTTCATCACTTAATTTATCAAATTAAATCTAGTCCTCTACTCATATTGAACTAATGACTTTTTAACAAAACAATAAAAAACTGACTGAGTATAAAAGTCTTCACCCAAGGTTTAGACCAAGATCAGAACAAGTTAGATCAGAATAAGTTTTTTGGGAGTTTTCCTTAATATATCAGATTTAGTGGTTGGCATAAATGGGTTAATCTGAAGGATATTTACTCAGTAACTACTACAAAATGTTTGGTAACTACGACTTAAATATGTTGTTATTACTGTACTAACATTGACTTAATCTTCCAATTTAAAGAGCTGCAGCATTTCTTTTTCCTACAGCCATAAAAATACATATGCAAGTATAAATAGTTACTAAACAGTAATCATACACATAAACACAGAAACAACCACACAGTGTATCACACACTAAACATTATTCACTGCATCTGTTCTAAATGTATAGATTATATGCAACAATATTGATGGGACTTGGTTTTACAAAGCTAATCATGTGCGAAAGTATGACAAAAATGACTCGCTGATGCCTCCAGCCCCAGGCTTATTATTCAGTTATTAATTTTAAAGCTTACTTTTCAGTAACTACTATTAATTAATTCAGTATTATTAGAGTTCCTCAAAGGAGACCATGTACAGGCCCTGAGGGTTTCAGGGCTTAAAAAGCTGTATAACACTTTACAAGCTCTGTCTGCAAGAGAAAAGAGGGTGGTTCCCTAAATAGGCTAACCCAGCAAGATGAAACTTCCTGGCCTCTAACTCATCTTGGTTGAGTATGCCACCAGGGCACATCACTGTGGTGTGTACGCTGGTTAGATACATCTCCACCTCAAAATCTATATCAAACAAAAGTTTAACCAGAGGTTGTAACAGATGACAGTGATAATGATGCAAAAGAGTGAAGATGTTAAGCTTTAAGAGTGACCATGTCTGACAGATGACAGCAAAGTAGTACATTTCACTGTTTTGCTTTTCAGTTCCTGTGAATTTAAAAATAAGATGCTGTGGGAGAGAGTTCAGATGTTCAGGTTTGACCAGCAGCTTTAACAAGCTAGCAAAACCCTCTTTTTGGCTCCATCTAGTGGCTGTTGGAGGACGTACAGTATTTTGCGCAAAAGGAGATACTCATTCAGCAATGTTGCTGGTGCCTACACTTGTTAAAAAGGGCTCTAAAAACATGCAATGTCACTTCATACAGAACCATTATTAAAATGGCCAGGGCCCACCGGAGTGTAGGTGACTGGAGCTCTAATTGGAGTATAGGTGAATGTAGAGTTAGGTGTCTTGCCCAAGGGCTCTTACTGCTGTAGAGAACTGTGTCTACCTCACAGAGGGCAGCAGTATCATCCACTACACTATACCAATATACATTTTAAGGTGCAGTTACTATCTATATACTACTCATTGGCCACTTTATAAGAAACGCTGATGCTTCATATTTCTTGTGTACAGTTAGAGAATGAAGCCCATCTCTTGATGTACATTATATGGACAAAAGCATTGGGACACACCCACAGAGGCTTTTATGATATCCCATTCTAAATCCATAGGTATTAATATGGAGTTGGTCCCCACTTTGCAGATATAACCACCTCCACTCTTCTGGGAAGCTTCCTGCAAGATTCTGGAGAGATTTCAGATATTCAGGTTTGACCAGCAGGTTTAACAAGCTAGCAAAATCTTCTTTTTGGCTCCATCTAGTGGCTGTTGAAGGAAATACAGTATCCTGAGTAAAGGAGATACTCCACAGTTCCATTCAGCAATGATGAAAAAAGCTCTAAAAACATGCAATGCCACTTCACACAGAAGCATAATGTGTACAAAACTTTGCATTCTCCATTTTAGCCCCTTAAAATGGCCAGGGCCCACCTGCAGGGCCTAAAATTTTATTAGACTATAACCTGAGAATAAGGCGGCACGTTGGGTAGCAAGAAGTGCCTGGGTTCGATTCCCTGGCCGGGCAAGCAGCGTCCTTTCTGTGTGGAGTTTGCATGTTCTCCCCGTGTCTGCGTGGGTTTCCTCCCACAGTCCAAAGACATGCAGTCAGGTCAACTGGACATGCTAAATTGCCCTTAGCTCTGAATGTATATGTCTGTCTGCCTGCCCTGTGATGGACTGGTGACCTGTCCAGGGTGTATCCTGCCTTTCACCCAATGACTGCTAGAATAGGCTCCAGCTCCCCCCGTGACCCAGAAGGATAAGTGGCTTAGAAGGGGTGTGTGTGTGTGTGTGTGTATATAACCTAAGAATAGCTCTGCCAGTTTGCACAGAAGTCCCTGTACACTCTCAAAAATAAAGGCGCTGAATTGTCTCTGGGGCAGTACCCCTGTTTTCACTGGGGTGGTACTGTCAAAGGTACATCTCAGTACCTTTAGTCAGGGAACAAAATTGTACCATAATCCCTTGAAATGATATTTTTTAGGTTATACTGACTTTGCTAGGCTTTGCATTTTACTGTTCTGTTTTAAAACATTAGGCTAGGAAAAGGCACAAATAGTTGTTTTTTACCTGGGAAAAACTTATTTAAGGTACACAGTTGGACTATAAAACCACTGCTGTTTGTGAGACGGAACAATACACTGTTTGTACCTTGATGAATGAATAATGTACCTGCACAGCACCTTTATTTCTACGTGAAGTTACTGAATAATAGGCCTTAATATGTAACAAGCCTGGGATTTTAAGGGGTTAATAACTTTGATGGCCATAATTTTAGATAATTTGGGGAAAAGATGTCCATTTTACAGATGCTATTATCCAGAAAGACGTACAGTTTAATCTCATTACATATTTACATTCCCATGCAAAAAAAATGGACCAAGCCCAAAATCGTAAAACATTAAGCTTTTAATAGTCTTAACAACAAATCATTTTTAAAAAATCTAAACAGGAAAGCTTTTCTCTTTGATTTCTTTTCTTTATGTTAAGGGGTAGACTTGCAGGCAATCTTTTACAGAAAGGAGTGTCAGTATTGTTCCAGTCAGCACTGATGGCTTCAAACAGTACAAAAACACCACCAAGCAAGTTTGGATTTCATGTGAGACCAAATAATCTCTATAGCAGTGGTCAACAACCCTGATCCTGGACAGCTACCTTCCTGCAGAGTCCGGTTCCAACCACAATCTGCCACATCTGCTCTGGCTTATTACCTTTTTCAGAAGTCTTTGATTGGCCAGGTCAGATCAGAGTTAGGTAAGGGCATGTCAGATGCAGGTTGGAACTAAACTCTGCAGGATTAGGATCTCCAGGAGGGAGGGTTGGTGACCACTGCTCCATAAGGTTTAAAACTGGACTCTGACAAGGCCAAAACCATCAGTAAAAACCATTTTGAACTTGGCCCATTTTTTTGCATGGGAGTTAGGGGTGATCAATTATTTTTTGTTAAAAAATGTCTTTTCAACAGTGGATTTCATTGAACTTTAAATATAATTCAACTGAAAAAAAAAAAACAAATAAAAAAATATAAATAACTAATATCATATGTATATAATGGGAGTGTATGTGAATGTAGAGTTAGGATTCTTGCCCAAGGACTCTTGCTGGTATAGAGAACTGTGTCTACCTCACAGAAAGCAGCAGTATTATCCACTACACTCTACCAACACACATTTTAAGGCCCAGTTACTACCTATACTACTGGCCACTTTATAAGAAACGCTGATGCTCCAGGTTTCTTGTGTACAGTTAGAGAATGAAGCCCATTTCTTGGTGTACACTATATGGACAAAAGTACTGGAACACACCCACAGGAGCTTTTATGATCCCATTCTAAATCCATAGGCATTAATATGGAGTTGGTCCCCACTTTGTAGCTATAACAGCTTCCACTCTTTTGGGAAGCTTCCTGCAAGATTCTGGGGTGTGTCAGTGGGAATTTTTGCGCATTCATCCAGGACAGCATTTGTGAGGTCAGACACTGATGTTGGATGAGTGGGCCTGGCTCACAATCTCTGTTGTAGTCGATCTCAAAGGTGATTGAATGGGGTTGAGGTCAGGGCTCTGTGCGGGTTCGTCAAGTTCTTCCACACCAAACTCACCCAACCATGCCTTTATGGACCTTGCTTTGTGCACCGGGGCTCAGTCATGCAGGAACAGAAAAGGGCCTTCCCCAAACTGTTCCCACAAAGTTCGAAGCATAGAATCTCTTGGTCTGCTGAAGCATTAAGATTTCCCTTCACTGGAACTAAGGGTCCTAGGCCAACCCCTGAAAAACAACCCCATAGCATCATCCCTCCTCCACCAAACTTCACACTTGGCATAATGCAGTCAGACAGGTAACGTTCTCCTGGCATTCGGCAAACCCAGACTCGTCCATCCTGCCAGATAGAGATACGTGATTCATCACTCCACAGGATGCGTTTCCACTGCTCCAAAGTCCAGTGGCGGCATGTTGTACACCACTTTTAGATTAAAGTGGTTCTTTTTTAGATCAAATAAACACTGAACAGACTCTCAGTAACACATCAACAACATAACATGATGTAGCACCAGTGAATACATTCAGTAGATTATCAAGAGACTTTTAATTAACTGTGTAAATAAAGTTTGTTTATAATCTACTGAATTTATTTTGTTATTGTTATGTTTTTCACTTTATTTGGAGTGTCCAAATTTATATCTGTGGATCTTAACCTGGGAGGTCACTAAACGCGTAACAGGTCTAATACAGACCATCTCAACATCCTCAACAAGCTGTTATAGACATGCTGCTCACACCATTCTGTGATCTTAACTGGATTACGTTTTGGTTAAAGTTGGGGTTAGGATTAGGGCCGAGGTGAGGGTTAGGACTAGGTTTTGTTTTGAGATTAATGTCAGGGTTAGGATTAGAGTCAAGGTGAGGGTTAGGGTTAGGTCTGGGTTGAGGTTGAGGTTAGGGTTAAAGTTAGGATTAGAGCCAGAGTGAGGGTTAGGTTTTGGGTAAGGTTAGGTTTCGCTTAATGGAAATACCATATAAAGTCGACTTCATGAAGCATATACATCTACTTAACGTAAGTAATGTATCAACAGTACATCTTCCAGACACTTGCCTTAATGTTTTCAGATGCTGCACTACTGCTACTTCACTGATCTGTTATTGATACTCTGGTAAGAGTTTATTAATCATATACAAAGGACCACTCAAAATAAAATGTTACTGCAGTAGTTTTACACTTACACTCTTACTCATAAAAGAAGTGATGTTACTGGTAGTGAGGTAGTGAGGGCCATTTGAAAACCACAGTCCTTTCTGGTTTACATCCTGTTTAAGACTGCATGCACAAGAATGTGCACAATTGCACAATGAGGGTCCTGTACCTGGTGCTTATTTCTCAAGGTAAGTGTGTTTTACTGGGTTGAGGAATATTGTAAACATTCTTGTATTATTCTGTGCTTTATGTTTCATGAGTGTTAGTGTTCTTCAATGAGTAGAATAAGTAAGTAAGTAAGAGTAAATGTAAAAGTCAAGTAGCCAAAATGAGAAAAATATTTGAGTATGAGATAAAAAATATCAGGTCTACAAACTTTTCAAGGACTGATTCCTTATAGTTCCCAGCACAGAACAGAAGATCAATCTATGCTATTATTGTCTTTTCGTGAGAAGTAAGGGAGGTGTAACCACCTAAACCAACAGAACAGGATGAAATTAAACACCAAAAAAAGGATTAGGAAGTAACAATGAAGGACTGAGATGGAACTGTATAAATACACTTCAGTGAAAGTGTAAACAAAAGAGAATACAAAGTACAAATCTGTCGATAAGGTTCCTTAAGTATGTGGAACTGGCAAATGTTTCTGTTAAGTAACGCGACCTGCTCAAGGTACAATATGATATGCAGGAAATACAAGCAAGCTGTGGTTTTCCAAAGGCCAAACAGAGAGATTCACCACTATAGTTTTTAATTGACTGTTTTTCTTCTTGCTCTTTTCTACCAGTCAGTGCACAACTTCAATGTGACAAATCCATTATCCGTGCCACAGTTGGGAGAAGATTTAACGTCGCCTGCACATACAACACAAACCAATTCCGCTTCAGTAAGAAGTACTGGTGTTTGGGGGAGTCTAGAAGCTCTTGTGAGATTGTGATGGATACAGACGGCTTCACCAAAGCTGAGCTCAAAAATCGGGCTCAGATCATTGACGCAGTGTACAGAGGCCTGCACATTCTGATGACTGGACTGCAGCTGAGGGACAGTGGAGTCTACTGGGCCGGAATTGACAAAATATACGCGGACATCATGTTTAAGATCCAGGTTGAAGTGACAGAAGGTACGAATAACATATATGAAGCAACCCTTTAAATTCTTTATATATTTATATTTTTACATATTTTATAGGAAAATGTCAGAGAGCACCCTTCATTTGTTTATCCAGTCAAAATATGAAATTAATATTTCTGAGTAGATCAAATCCACTTGCCTAGTGGAAAGGCAAAAGACCATTAGTGAAAACCCAAATAATAATAATTAAGAGATGCAGAGAAAATGGAACTCTTAAACACTCTTAAACATGATGGTTGTTCCAGGCTTCTTTACTAAAGAAAATGGTTCTATATACAACCATCAACACTCAACTTTGCATGATTACAGGCTTCTCTGCACTGTGAAAGGGTTCTTCACATTGAAGGATAATATGCTGTAAATGGTTCTATATAGAACCATTATGAAGCTCAACATTCTAAAAATAGAACAACCATTTTTGGTGCTATATAGAACCCTTTTCAAAATGTTCTATTTAGAACCATCTACAGCACATTTTCATCAACCTGAAGAATGCTTTCACAATGCGAGGAACCCTTTAATCATGCAAAGGGTTCTTTGAGTGTTCATGGCTCTACATAGAAGCATTTTGTTTAAAAAGAATCCTTATAGAACCATCTTTTTTAAAAGTGTATCATCCTTGCAAGACCTGGACTATCAGACAAACAGTACTTAAAAATTTCATCTTTGAGAGAGGAGAAAATCAAACTCGACTCTTGTTCTTGGTGTTTCTGTCTGTCCTTGTGAGAAGACAGCTCAACACTTTGAGTCTGAAAGAATGTGTGGTTGTAAAGAAGCCCTTACTGAGAAAAGGCGATAGACCACTGTAGTCGTGTCGTTATTTTGTAGTCAGCACCATGTTCTTATGCCCATATTAGGAACTCCGGGTCTAAGCTCCATTTCTCTGTGGCCAGAATGAATAGGGTTTTTGAAAAATTGCCTCTATCGCACGCTGTGTTAATTAAAAGTGTTCAGAACCCGATACGTTTTGTCCCTGCAGATTTCTTTGAAAAACTGAACGCAGGTCTCCTGAAAAGAAGGGACACACTCAATACTGAAAAACGTAGTATTGTATTGAGTTATTGAGACTTCTTTGTAATTTTCTGTTAAATATGTTTTCTGCAATTTTTCCTGATTCTGAAAAATGAAGAAGTTGAGCTTCATGGCTGTTTTGATTGCAAAATTAAATAAATAAAGCGTGGTCTCTGACTTTTTAGTTGGGTCATGAGTAAACAATCGATGACAGCGATGGTACAGTCTAACTTGAGCAAGTGAAAGAAGGCAGGTCGAGTAACACTGTCAACGTATGCTTTAAAACTTAATTCAGTATGTAAAAGAACAATAATACATGGAATTAAAATGCACAATTTAAGACACATTTTAAGACAGAATAACAATGAAAAAAGCATAGGTCTATTATTATTATTAGAATGTAAAATGTATTATAGTTCATATAAAAATCAAAACCTTCAGAACAAAAAAAGGGAAAATAGAAAACATTTTTTCATCTTAATCTTCATTTTTATGCCCTCTGTTAACACATTTGTTTTAATATAATAAAAGAATAACCTCTTATACTGATTTCAGACATTTTGTTGATAATTAAACCATTTATCTGACTCATACTGAATTTCAGAAGCTGTTATCAGGCCAAAGGTGTGGCCAGTGGGCTCCCCTCTGCTGACATGTGTGGGTCAGCCACTGACGCTGCGCTGCAGGAGTGAGAGAGGCACTAATGTGCAGTACAGCTGGTACAGAAAGGCCGATCCTGAAGCTGTGCTCTTACAGACCACCTCCGATCTCCCCCTGCACTGTGCTTCTCTCACTCAGGACGGTCACTTTGTCTGTTCTGCCCATAACGCAGTGAGCAGAGAGCACAGCAATGCTGTTTTCATTCATGTCCTGCAGCCTGGACACAAGGACTGCGTTTATTTGCTCACATCTGAAGGTCAGCTATAAGGTCACCATTCACCGACCTTGTGCTTCCACTCACTGACCGCTTTATTAGAAACACTGACCTTGCTCTTCCACTCAGTAGCCACTAAAATACAAGTACCTACCTTGCAGGTCACTATATGGGTGTACCATCTATTGTTGTGCACAATTTGTTAGTCACATTCTACCTCATTCTACCCAGTTTCTGACCACAGGGCTGCTGTTGACCAGAGGGTGACCATTCTCCACACATCAGTAACACTGACATTTTAGTGTGTGTGGTGCTGGTACGAGCGATGCTGCTGAAGTTTTTCTTTTCTCTACACACATCAGTGTCACTGCTTGGTTGATCTAAAAATATCCAGCAAACAGCAGCTCTGTGGTCAGAAATTGACCACTGATGAAGGGTAATGGAAGCCTAACTTAAAGTGTGCATGGCAACAGATGGGATATACAGTCTCTAACAGCAAGACTGACCCACAATGTTGGTTAAGTGATCCTAATTAGTCCCACAACGGGGAAATTTCACCTGTGAATTTTAATCCATCCGTTCACACACTAGTGAATGCACACACACTAGGGGGCAGTAAGCACACTTGCCCGGAGCGGTGGGCAGCCCTATACAAGGCGCCCAGGGAGCAGTTGGGGGTTAGGTGCCTTGCATAAGGGCACTTCAGTCACGCACTGTCGGCTGCCCAAAGGGGATCGAACCGGCGACCTTCTGTTCATAAAACTGGTTCCCTAACCTCCAGCCCATGACTGCCCCCTGGTGTTTCTAATAAAGTGAACACTAAGTGCCCTGCAAACTTTCCTGAGTTGTTTGATATGGGCTAGACTGTCAAATCAGAGGTGACGCATTTCTTACTTAGACCATATCTGGTTGATATAGTGTAGTGGGTAACACCTCTGCCTTTTACACTGTAGACTGGGGTTCAATCCCTGCCTGGGTAAGCACTCTACACTATACCAATGAGAGTCCTTGGGTAAGACTCCTAACACTACCTTCGCCCACCTGTGTACAATACTCAAATTGTAAGTTGCTCTGGGTAAAAGCATCTGCCAAATGCAGTAAATGTACAAAACAAATGCCGGACTCTTACAATTCTGTGCAAAGGTCAGAGACCGCCATTAAGTACAAGGTTTTTTTTCAGGAGATATTTCTGAAGAGATTAGGTATTAAGGTAAGGGAAAGTCCAATACTATGGGTCTGAAAGGATGTATAGCTGTCAAGAAGTCCTGACTGAGAAAAAGAAATAGACACAAATGAAGAAAATTTGCAAAATATAGAACAATGGACTGACCACTCCAGAGCCCAGACCACATCACCGAATGTGTTTGGGATTACTTGGATGGTGAGAAGCTGAAAATGCAACCAACTTCTAAGACTGACCTTTGGAAGCATGGAAGAATATACTTGCATATTTCTTTGAAAAACTGGAAGCAAGGGTGGACACATTAAATATTGAAAAAATATATTAAATTTACTAATATTAAAAACGTTTTCTTCTTTTTCTGATCCTAAAAAATCAATAACTTGTATTTCATGTCTGTTTTGACTGTAAATTAAATAAATGAAGGGTGGTTTCTGACTTTTGCACAATACCATACATCTAGAACACATCTTGAGTGAAAAACACACACACCTCAAAAAAAAAAACAAACAAACACATAAGCAAAAAAAACACAAATGTTAATAATATCAAACCTCCACATTGTTTTTTTTATGCAGCACTATTCTGAAAACGTGCTATAGCATCGATATCCTCCTTTTCAGGATTTGAAAGTTATGACTGTAAGACAACTACAACACCACGCATCACAACCACCATGACCACAGTGGAAGTCTTCAGCTCAACACTTGCCACTCAGAGCAGTGGATATGAAAACCACTCACTCTGTGTCAATCAAACATGGATGGAAGGGATCTTTTTCAGGTTTGAATAAGAATATATCATTTATAATAATTATAAAATGTCTGGATAGCACACATACCTCACATTAAAACCAACTTCTATTGCAGAGAATATGACACATACAATGCATCATAAATCATCTGTCTGAATAACATGCAATATATTTTTATACCATTTGAAAACAGCAGCTTCCCTTTACTTTGTGAATACATTTCATGGGAGACCAATAAAATGTTCCATAATTACTCCATACACTAGTATAGAGTTGAGAACATTCTTTCCCAATGTTACCATTTCAGAACGATTTGTTAAGACAGCAGGAAAACACAGAATAGTTGGTTAAAGGTATTACAAAGAAGACAATGTGAAATTGTTCATTTCAGGAAACTATAAAACTCCTTCAAATGTCTGTATTTCTCAGGTCGTGGTCAGGAGTGCCACTGTGGTATGACATCCTTCGCTGGACTCTCTTCACTATTATGATGGTCACCACTGGTCTAGTGCACATGTGCACACCGGCCAGAGCCAGTGGTCACAGACTTACTCACAAACACCAAAAACACATCTGACTGTGGAAAAGACTTTTGCTTTGCTTTCGTTTTTGACTTTGTATTTAGTTTGTTTTCTGTGCTTTAATGTTATTGTGTCTTTTTAAACATGGTTTAATCTGCAGCCAAGTGCGCTATATTATAAACAGTTTCTTAAGGCCATGTTTAAACTGAGTTCTATGTTACAGTCAGGGCTTCACATTAGGCTTTTTCAAGGACTTAGAAAATCTACATTCATTCCACAGAAAAAGATCAGTCACATTTGTAAATGACTGCTGTATTGCACAAGTTTATTAAAATGTTACAACTGGCACTGAACATGTAAAAGATGCGAGTAAGAAATAGAAAAAATAAAAATAATTCAGTTATCATCCTCTTACAGCTGTTCTGATTCAGGGGAGAAAGAGAGAGAGAGAGATGTTCACCACTCAATTTAAATGATGTCACTTTTTCTAGTTTTTACAGCCATCTTGTCACTAAGCCTCATTCAGTATTATTATTAGTATCCCTTTCTCTTTCTCTCTCACACACACACACACGCTTCCTCTCTCTGTCCCTCCCCTCTGACTCGTTCAGTAGTTCAGTCGATTTTCTAAGCTAAATCAGGTGATTTGCACACCCGCTGTGGCAGTACGCTTTAGCTAGGATGCATGTTGGTTTGGGTTTTTCAGTTTGCCGCGTTTTTCCATCTTTATTATGTACATTTCAGCTGTCTGATTTTAATCTGTCTGTTTCATTGGAGTAAATGTTGTGCTTGTGAAGAGAGGACACATGTTTTTAAGGACGTATTGCACTGATTGTTGGGTTTATGTTAACATGCTCTCATTAATCTGTGTGATTGGAAAAAAATATGAGCTTATAACAGTGACATGCCCAACACTGCGGTTAGTGTACTGCCATCATGCTGTTGCATAGGCCTTGTGATATCATCTGCTGTGATATAAAAATTCACTGACCACCCAAAAAATGTACCCAACAAACATTTGTACCCAGCGGCCAGTCACTTGAGGATCTGAGCCCGCTGATTTGTCATCCACTTGTCCCATACAAACTTGTCAGTGTTATTGTCAAGTCCTGATACTCAATATACTTAGCCATGGGCTGCACGCAACACTTTGACAAGATAAATTTAAGAATAAACTGTATTTATGCTGTATCTTTTCATTTCCTCTTTTACTGGTGTATGTTATACTGCCTAACCTGACGTTAATGCCAGTAAACGGTGTAAAATCAGTGCATCTGAACCTTTTTCTCCTTTGCCTTGCTCTAATAATTCCAGAGCCTCTAATATATTGAGGCCACAAATTAATACATTAAGGGCATTAGTGTAAAAAGAAAAATTAGGCCATTAGTTTAAACAAAACAAAAAAAATTGTGGCCATGAGAAACTTAACTTGTGGCCTCAAAATAATAATTTGTGGCCCCACCTTATTTAAAATAATCACCATGTCACCAAATACTGAACGGCTGAGAGCAAACTTGTTCAGAGCAATTTTGTTGTTCATGCAGGTAAATTCAGGTTCGTTCACATTAATAGCAGATTTGAGTTACTTATCTACATGAATGTGAACCTTGAAGATCAGATCTGAGCAAAAAAAGGGAACTAAGCAATGAGGATTGTAATGTAAACCTAGCCTTCTTCAGGTGACGCTGATGTTTTTGGTGACACTTTATTTTGAGTGGTCCTTTTTAGATGAAATAAACACTCAGTGGACTCTCAGTAACATTCAAAAACATATGAGGGTTAGGGTTAGGTTTTGGGTTGAGGTTAAGGTTAGGGTTAGGATTAGGGCCAGGGTTAGGGTTAGATTTTGGGTAAAGTTGGTTTTGCATAATGGAAATAACATGTTAACAATACATACTTAATGGAAGTTATGTATCAACAGTACATCTACAAGATATTTACTTCAATGTATTCAGATGCTTCACTACTGCTACTTCACTGATATGTTGTTGGTGTGTTACTGATCTGTTACGAGTTTATTTATCATCTACAGAGGACCACTTCAAACGCAGTGTTACCAATTGTTTTTATGACATTATGTTGGGTCACAACACTGTGAAATTACACTGACACTGGTGTTAAGTCAACTTGACATCAAAGTCGATAAAAGCAGCTTTTAGGACAGATGACACCTATTAGAATAAGCCTTTATGAATATCAGTTGTCATGACAAGCTTATGTCATGTAGTCTTATGAACATGAGCTACAGTAAAGCATTCTCAAAATATGTGTAGCCTATTCAGAAAACTCATTGCACCAATTGTGCATTTGTAAGCAGCACTTACGCCAAAAAGGGAGGATGTTACTGATTTAGCCTGAGGCTGCTGGCGATGGTGAAAGTCACCTGAAAACCACAGTCCGTCTCTGTCTTACATCCTGTTTCTGATGATTGTGTGCAAAAGGGCACAAGACATTTTCAACCATGAGGGTCCTATATGTGGTGCTGATTTCCTAAGGTAAAGTAATATAACTAACATCCTTAAAATGTTGAGCTAAATACTTTCCTTCCAGTGCAGTACTTTTTAATGTTTGCATCTGAGGAGCTGTATTTAAAGTGTTTTCTTATTTCAATTGAGTAAACAAAGTAAAAATGTCTAATAAAAAAATGAACAATAAAAGAAAGTTATTGAAAAAGGATTGGACCAAAAGACTCATCAAGTACTGAGTTGCCTATTAAAATGCAGTGGAACTTCACCACTTTTTCTGTCACCATAGAAACAGCATAGAATCTGCAATTTTATCATCCTTTTGGTCTAAAATAAAATAGTAAAGTACAACATTGGGAGTTGTAAGTAATAGCAAGTTCTAAACCAACAGAACAGGATGAAATTAAATCCAGAAAAGAAAAGTGAATGACTTCATAGAACAGAAACACACATGAGTAAAAAAGTTATCATTTTGAAATACTACACTTACAATTTAACTGATTTTTTTCAAAATTTCTATATAACTTAATAGTTCAGAGTGGTTTGATGTAAAAGTCTTTTGGGACTAATTTGCCTTACAACTCCTTGCATGTACTCCTCCGCTATGAATGGCTTTTTAAAAATAGGTTTTAGGTCAAGACCTTTTCTCAAAACCATTGTGAATCTGTGTGCATCAAGCAAGATATTTATAACTACGTCTTCTAATGTCCTTCTGTGTGGAAGCTTGTATAGGCATTAAACTTTTCAGATGTCTTGTTCCTTTCGCTACCACGGTGACCAATTCTGACTCTGCCAGTTTCTCTAGAATGGAGAATTTCAGACCAATCCTTCCTGAATGAATTTGTTTGCATCTAAACCAATGAGTAATGCAAAAATGTGGCAAAACTGATGGAGTTACTGTTACGAGTGTGGATCATAGGAAACTTGTGTAGTTGGTAAGAAATGTAACCTGTCTGAGGTATGGCATGATGTGGTTTTCAGGAAATACAAGCTACATGGGTTTATCTTAAGAGGCAACTAAGAGGAACTGGAACTCTTTATGTACATATAAATGAATACAAACCTACATGAACCTACATTGTGGTAGACAAAGTGAGTAGCGTGAGAAAAGCAGGTCACAGATGTGTTTAGAAGACATTAATTATATAACAATAGATGTTATGGCCCTTCTTATCAATCCCTCTGTAGCCTACCTTCTGCAGTTCTTGGAAAATAGAAAGATAATAAATAGAATTTAGCAGTAAAATGTGTTTTGCTGTGTATTCACGTTTAGGCTTTGGTTTTGATCAGAGACAGCTTATCTGACTGGCCTGCTTTCTCTCAATGGAACCTAGCTGAGCCCTGCTTGGAGCTCTCTGTATTGCTGTCCTGGCATTTTGTCTGTACTGACTATGATTTAAACTTTACATTTTTAGAAAATGTGTGTAAATCTTTATTGCCAACACTTTTCCTGTGTTAACAAAACTATTTCAGATGCACATATAAAAAAGAACGTAGTTCCTCACCAGGGATTGATGTTTTCAAGGCTCGGCCCAAGGCCTAGTATAACTGGACTGTGTTTATGCTGTATCTTTTCTTTGTGATGTCATGTGGTTAGTTGGAATTCTGCTGTTTGTCCTGTAGATGGCAGTAGCAAAAATTTCAAAAGCAATTTACACGGACATACTGTGGAACAGTGACACCAACTCTCCTCCTAGAGATCTACCTTTACCTTATATGTATATCTTTTAGCCACTGTGGCTTCATCCACTAACATGAATCTACTTATTCCTAGACTGGAATAGATATGTAATTGTCTAGTGCATGGCTGGTATCTGCCGACAAAAAAGGAATCCATAAGTACACTTATAGGTTTAATATTGCTGCCCACTAAGCTTAATCTAACACAGGTGCTTCTTTACACTGTGGTTTTTAAGCTAGTAGCAGTTAGTGAACCTGAAGTTGACGCCAACTCTCGACTCCTGCCAATGGAGTTGACTCGACTTCTTTCAATTTTAACTAAGACAGCACCAGACTCACAGATAAAGGGATAAAACGTAGATTAAACCATCCCATACCTTTATTTGAGTTGCTACAGATCATAGTCGATAACATGAATGTTGTGCATCCCATCAGTTTCTGAAAGTCCTATTTGCCTAAATATGTGATGAGTGCAGTCTCCTTTCTAACTCACTTCTTTGCTAGTAGTTCCTGCCTACTCACTGTCCTTCCGACCTCCTGGGCCGATTCTGGCTATTACTATTATTATTATATTACTTAAATTAAGCCCTTACTTCTAATTTTTCAGTTAAAACTATTACTTATTTTAACTTGTGTATTCAGTTGCCATTGAATGAGGTTCATCTACAATAGACCAAAACATTTCTGTTTGTCTGTTTGCTTGTATAATAATAATAAATAATTGTTCCGCATTGAACATGTTTATAATTGTGATGCACAGTAAACAATCTGACTACATTCTAAATATTTTTGCTTTTTGTTCTGTTTAAAGGATTCTGCACTGGTGAAAATCAACAAACGCAAAACAAAGCATTATGATCATAATATACCCATGTAAGCTCATGATGGAAACAGTTAAAAGTCTCTGTATAACTTCTAAGGTTGCTACCACCATAGGTAGGTTTGAAAACCCACCTTTTGCCTAAGTGGGATCCAATGCATATCTCAGAAAGGGCCTATGTTTAACATAATATAGTACAAAATCATATATTTAAAATCATTAGCAAAACAGCAGTTTATCCAGTTTTGTATTTATTTATTGTGACAAATCACTGTAAGCCCGGATAAGTTGAATTTACTTTAAAAATTTGAGGAAACCGGTTGCCTTAAAAAAAATAAGTAATGTCTAATGAAAACTTGAGTTAGAATAACTATAATTTTTGTGGTAGGCTAACTCTAACACATGTTTGTGCAAATCATACATTGTAATTATTTTAACTTATTAATGCCTTGAAACTGAAATGTAACTATATGTTTCATTTGACAATTAAGATTTTTTTCTAATTGCTGGCTAACACAAACGCCCATCATCAGCAAACAGAACGATAACCATCACTCTTAGCCAACAGCACAATGACAGGCAGCTGAGTAAAGTATATATAGAACACACGCCTGAGGAAAGGCAGCCTGGGTGGAATGAAAGCACACTGATGGTGAGTAAAACAAATGGAAAGTAACACTCAATATGCAAATATATGGAGCCAGGAGCCAATGGGAAAGAAATATCTGTTTAACAAGATCATGTTAGCAAAACAAACATGTAACTTGTATTTTACAGCTTATTTAACTTCACTGTTTCACACATTTATTCAGCAACTTTAATGAGAAAGAAACAATTAAAACCAACAGAAATATCATGTTTTGAATGTGGGGGGTTTCAAAGTTACCATAGCAACAGACTAAACTAAATAGCAATAAGTTTTTTCAACTCAAAAATGCCATTTGAGTGTACAAAATTGTTGAGCAATATGTGGGATATACTCAGTTTTATGTACAACAGACTTATTTATTTGAGTTAAAACAAAATGCAGGATTACAGAAAACGTGGCTGTTTATCAAGTTAAATTGCGAAACAGTGTCTCATACACAGTTAGCTTGATCTCATGTACA